TCGTCGAAAGTGGCTCTGCCTTTTCCTAAGATCTGGGCAGGTACTGCAGAAAATCTATATTTATCTGCGGGTGGTGAGGTGGCAACTAAGTCCGACTGTCTCGTGGACTTCTTCTCGACGTTCTGGGATGTCGAGGCGTGGGGTTCCAACGGCTTGGTAGCCGGTGCGTACTCGAGGATTTCGTGGAGTTCCTCGATCGGGGTTAATGTGGGAATGAATCTCCGTTTTCCCGAAGTTAGTTTCGACTCGTTTCGGAGATCTTCCATCAGCGAATCAGCCGGTTCTGGTAGTTTAGCCTCATTTCGGAGGTTCTGCGTGACAGGTGCTTCTGTCAGATCTAGTTTATACTCATCTCGGAGTTCTTCTTTCTTCTTCGTCAGGGTGCCTACCTCCCTTCTTTGGCGCGTGCTGCGCGTCCTCTTTTCTCTACGGAAGAGCGGCTTCAACCCGTTCCTCTTCCTACCTCTCTCAATCATTCTCTCAAGTCCTTTCGACTTGTCAGTGGCAGGGATAGTTACCGTGCCTTTCTTCCAATCTATGGATGGTTTCACAGCGGCCAGCCATGTGAATCCGAGTAGGATGTCATCCAAGCGCGGCATTACGAGGAATCGTCCGTGCATTACTCGGTCGTCGATCTTTATGATGAGTCGGCAAAATCTCTTGACTTTGCCTCCTTCGACTGTCGTTCCGTCTCCGTTCATTACCTTTTTCGGTTTCTGAAGGAGGTGCGTTCTGATGCGATATCTCTTGCAGAGTTCTCTGCTTATAAATGAGTCGCATGCGCCCGAGTCTATGACCATGGTGGTCGTAATGGGCGGCTTAGTGGTGGACATGAGGGTGGCGGCAACCCGTAGTTCCTTCTTCTTGGATACGCTGTTCTTGTTAATTATTAGCAGCGGTCCAGTCTTCTCCTTACCAGCCGCTGTCTTGCGGACTGTTTCTTCTTCGATAATCTTTCTCCTCATCGGGCACTTGTGGTCGTTGGCTTTGTGTCCAACGTGATGGCAAGAAAAGCATCGTCGTTGCTTCAGGTGGTGTCTTGTATCCATTCCTGAAAGGTTGGCGGCGGCGTCGGTATTTCTTCTGATCATCATGATCTGTGTCGGTGCGTTCATGGTAGAGGGAGTGGTGCGAAGGGACAGTGATAGGCTTAAGGATTCAAAGCTTCGTACGTCTGTCTTGACAATTTGTGGATAGCTTTACGCCGGTCTTGGCGATTTGGTCACGAGAGTAGAGGTCTACGCTTGTCTCAGCGGTGCGGTCGGTATCGATTCAACGGCGGTGCGTGATGAGCAGGGCCGGGAATGTGAGACTTGATTCTTTTGTTACGGACTAGGATAGTTCGAGCTCTCCCTAGGCGGATTGCCTAATCTGATAGCGGGCTCGCTATTGGAGAGACGGGGATCTTCTCTCAAATGAGAGGTTCGGGGGTTCCACTTAAGGTAGCGTCGGCTTTCCTTAAGGTGCGGCTTAGACTGAAGGACTGGGACTGTCTTTCAGAGGAAGTTCTGGATAAAACCTAGTAGAATCAAGTAGGGAATATACATGATTCTGTCTGCTCTATATACTGTCGTCCGTGTGCACAGACCAATACTACGTTCGGTAGGTAGGTATAAGTGTGTCTATACAAGGGCATCTTATCTGATGCCATGCGGTCGATTATCTATACATGAGGCTTACCATGCCTCTCTTATCTGTCCTCAAGGCTAAACATGCCTTGGAGTCTAACTGCGCATGCTAAGGCATGCGGCTTGTCTTCTGACCATGAGGCAGAGCTTCCTCATGATCCGGGTCGAGGACCATCTAGGTCCGATCAGATGTAGCCTAGGCTGGTCTAGGTCATCTAACGGCATCCAGGCCGTTCTAGGTGTCTCTACGAGTCTCCGTTGAGTCGGTAAGTCTTCCAGGACGGTGCATATGGTGGGATAGGGGCTAAGGTCATGATGACCTCCGTAGGAGGGGTTCTCGGTTACATGTTATTGTAACAGTTAGTTGCTGTCATTTCTGAGAACGTTGATGGGGCGCCTGTCAGGCCCATTGGCATTCATTTATACCAGAAATATCCACGGCCTTCGACATAGAATGCCGTGAAGGGTCGTGATTCCTCTGGAACTTCGACAGCGTAGAATCCCGATGCGAAGTCAAATACTGACACATACCTATGTCTGCTAAGTCGTAACTGTTTGGCCCTAATATCCCCCTGTGGCATTGGTGCAATGTTCATGACGTGATTGACCTCATTGAAGTTTTGGCATATTCTCCATTTCTGCGGCTTGTCGACTGAGTTCTCCTTTTCAGGGCCCTCCGCTACTTCCTTCTCTGGTAAGGTGAATGCTGGAGGTTGGTCGTGTTGCGAGCATTGGTTGTTGACGGCCCTTTGGAGTTCTTCTAACGTCATCCCTTCCTGCTCGTGCGCTTTCTTTGCTAAGACCGTGTTCGCGCAACATTTAACCAGTTCCGGAGGTGCATGCTCGATGATTCCTGCTTTCAGCATCTTGTCGACTTTACCATGTAGGAACTGTAGTTGTGGCGGTGTGAGAGGTCTTTGGTGGACTCGCAGGTTAAATGTTGTTCCGTCCGGTATGTTCAACCTATGAATCGCTCCCAGCACTGGGATAACTTCTCCTAGTGAACACGCAAAGATGTCAGCATATTCGGCAACTAATGCTTTGACCTTTTTTAGTTCTTCCAGGGTCAAGTCCTCGCCATATTGAACATGTTTGGTGATCCAAGTGATCCACAGAGGATTATGTGGGTTTGTGAGCCGCGTATATACTGCTGTATCGTTCTTGAGAAAGTCAGTAGGGATCTCTTTCAATAGTGTATCTAACTCAGCCGGTGGTATTGGGTCTCCGTCGACGTTGATGCGTATTGGAATGATGTCTTCCATGTCTTCGTCTTTGCGTGCGTTAGTTCCTGTTGGTTCCTGTGTGAGTACTGTACTTGGCTCGAAATCGTCGACTCGCCTTTGCACATTTTCTATCTCTGCTTCCTCTGTGATTCCTTGTACTTCCACTGTCTCCTCGATCTTGGCGTCTTTGACCTCCTTTACCAGTACGCGATTGCGCAATATTGCCTTGCCTCCGATTCCCGTGATGCTGACCTCGTCGACCTCATAGTCATGGACTGCCTTGAATGTTCGTAGTAGCGGTTTCCCAAAGAGAAATTCCCATCCTCCACCGCTTTGGAAGACTTCGAATTCTCCCACTGCCTTGATTCCCCCGATTACGATCTCTCCTTTCCATACAGCTTCCGATGGGATGATCGTTCTGTTAGCCATGCGAAGACGTTTCGTGGATGGGCTCCAGTTTCCTAATCGGTGCTTGATTCGATTGAAAACTGATGCGCACATAGCGCTGATCATGGCGCCTTCGTCAAACAGTGCCTGAACTCGCACTATTTCTCCTCGTGGGCCTATGAATGATGTGTGATGCCGAAATGGTAAGCAGTGTTGACTTTGGTGCCCGTCGTTCTTAACATCCTCCGTCGAGTACAAATCAATGATCTCGTATAGCTCATCTGTTGTTGGTACATTGACAGAATCTTTGCCTATAACTGTTTCGACGTGGCTGACAGGCTGGTCCTCATACGTTGCCTCTTCACATACGAGGACCAATTGTTCAACTGGGTGAGGTGCGTGCTTTGCTTGGGTCGTCTGGTGCTCCTCTACACTGACGACCCTTGTCCTTTTCCCTGCTCCCATTGTTGCGCGTACTCGTCCTCGAACATTAGATCAATCTGCGTAGCGAGTCCCCGGTTGAAGTTCCCTAATTCTCGTGCCGCTATGCTGCGCCATATTTTCTCTTGTATGACTAATTGGGATGTTTCTGGTGCTGGGCATGCTCCTGCAATGTGTCCGTGAGATCCGCACTTGAAGCATTCTCCGGAGCATATCATTGCACTTCCTGGCCGGAGAGGGAACTGTGTATGCTCATTGACTCGACCTTCCTGCCCATGCTTTGTGAACCACTGCTTCAGTTGTTCTTCGTATGTGGCTATGCCTGCGGCCGTGTCTGGCTGGTGCGGGATATCATTGACTCGACTACGTAGTGCCTCTTTTTCCTCTGGTGATAACGGTTGACGTTGTCGTGCTGGTGGTCTGGTTGTGGGCGTTCTGGGTACGTAGCGTATACGAGACATTGCATCACGGGATTAGTGATGTGCGGGCCCGGCTTGGCCTGAAAGCCCCGGCTTAGGCCTGGCCTGGGGAGGCTTGGGCTTTGAAAAAATTCAGGCCGAGCCGTGGGCCAAAGCCAGGCCAAAGCCGCGGCCGGCTTGGGCTCATTCACGGCCTTCAAGAAAGAAAAGAGTCTATATTCAATTCAAGTATACTAACATTAGTCGTCATCTGCTGAATCAACATCAGACCCTGACATATCGTCGTCGTCACCTAAAAGCAGTGTATCCCACCCCTCGTCATCTGCTGCTTCGACTTCTAACACCTCAGCCTCGTGTTCGGAGTCTTCGGTTTCCTCTTCTACAAGGGAAGATGGGCCAGGCTCCCGGAATAGAAGATCATTATGGAGAGAACACTTGATGCATTGTAGCGCCTCGACAATATCTCCTTTCAACCGATTGCGCCGCTTGCTGATCGTGATCCCACCTTGCGAGAATGCTCGCTCACTTGAGACCGATGCTGCCATAATAGACAGGTAGTCTCTTGCGAGCGAAGCCCACACTGGATATCTCTGGCCATTGATCTTAACAGAAACAACAGTCAGTCGCAAGAAACCTCGAAGCAAATGAAAGGCACTTACACCCCACCATTGAATAGTAGTCATACCCGCTGATTGAACCGCCTCAATAGTTTCAATGTAGCTCGTAAATTCGGCCCTCCATGGTTTCGACGGATCACTAGGAGATGTGGCGCCTGGTTCTGGCTCGGCGTCATCCTCAGAGTCACTCTGGACCTCCCGAATGAGTTTCTTGAGGCCGCTAACCTTGCTTTTCGTAGTTGTGGGCTGCGACAACACCTGATCTTGATGTAGCTCGTCATAGCGCTGTTTGAACACATTCTCGGCACACGTAAGCACATCATCAAGCAAGTTCGACGGCCAATGCTTTTTGAAGTAAGCAATTTTTGCCGTTGGATCAAGTACTATATCAGATGTTAGAGTTGCACTGACTGAAAGAGAAAATGACGAACACATAGCGATGATGTAGGCTGGAGAGTTTGTAGTTCTCTCATAATACTCATCTAGCTTTGTTGCTGCTGCCTTCAGTGCACGAGCAAACCGAGTATACTTGGGCCTTTCGGCTCGCGAAGACCAAGACTTGTGGAGCGTCTCCAGGGCAGGTATCGCGAGATGGAGAGTTGATCCTCGATCAGATGAGAAAGCTTGCTGGGCGACGTCGGCGTATGAAAGAAGGTCCGTGAATTGACCGACTCGTGTCCATTCAGCAGCTGACAGTTGCAGAAAGTCGATTTTGGCCCGTTTTTTGAGACTGCGCTCTTGACGCCCCATTTCGTACACGAATGTATCCACGTGCTACAGTGAGTAAGAGTGAGAATAAACAAAGTATGACGATATATCAAATACACACCTGCTTGTTCGATTCGGCACGATTCAGCATAACGTAGGTGGACGACCAGCGGACTTTCATGTCGATCAATAGCTGTGTCGGCAATGACACGTTGGCTTTGATTTGTATGTTCCTGTATGATTCTTTTCATTTTGCCGATGAACGTTCTTTCACACAAATGCTGCGAACAAGGCCAATCTCGTCCCGATCAACCTTAAGAGACATGTCTGGTTCGTGGGCGTGCGGATCGTGAGGATTGTAGTGAACAGATTTGCTGTATGTGCCAATGAGCTGCTGCGTGCCAAGATTGATAACATGCGCTAAACAGCTGTTGATATTGTTAGCAGTTCCATCAACGAAATAACAAAACAAACTTACTTGATCTTGCGCTCGAGCCATGGAAAAACCTTCTTATACTTCGCCTCGTATAACTGTGCAAACTCTTGCAGCATAGTGTTGTTGTTGGCTGCGTTGTCGCATGTAACATGACCAATCTAGTAAGTAGACATGAGCTGTAGCATTCGAAAGGAATTAATATAACATACTTTATGTGTAACACCAAGGCGATCAAGCACTTTGAATAACGTACCACCCAGGCGCTGGCCATTATGAGCGTTGTTGAGCTTCGTAAAACCAAGCAACGCATTCCCAGGTTCCCACTGCATCGGAATCTTTTCTTCGATCCAGTGGCCAGTGACTGCAAAATAGCCGTCTGTGTTGTCAGCCTGCCATGCATCACATGTAACATTGATGGCGCCACTGACAGATTCACTCTAGAATATGACATTAGATCATAACAGACAATAGTGCGGGGGACGACAACGTACATTTAACTTCTTTCTGAGTTTGGTGAGATGGCTCTTGAACATACGCATAATTTCAGCGCGGGTTGCTTTGCGGCCTGGAATTTTGACGCCCTGTGTGGCACGTGAGGCAACGTCTACCATCTCTTTGAATCTCGGGTGTTCGAGAGCCTGAATGGGCTATAATGATTGTTAGTACTATGCAGCCAGATGATATGAAGAGTTTACCTGATCCGTAGCAATGAGCCACTCGATTGCTGCCTTTCTGAAAAGCTGGTCGGAGTAAGGAACAACGCGCTCTGACAACTTGCGCTCAGTCATATGGGCGTTGAGCGTCTCCTGCGCTCGTGCAGCTTTCATTTTCTCTGCAGCAATATCGCCTGGCAATTTGGACAGGAAGGCGTTGTCTTTGGCCCATTTGCGATATTTACCCTGTACATGTTATTTAGATATACATTGATAATAATATGAAGATGAAAACTTATGAAAACTTACAGCGAATCTAGCTTCAGCGTGACGGCGCAGTGTTGAGGTCTCATTTACAATTATACAACCATTCCTACAAGTGATTAGGCGATGTTAATGACACAACAGCACATGGAAATGATAATGGAATGACGTACGGACAAACTTTGCACTTACGGTGTTTTTTCACCGTGCCATTGGTGTTAGTCCGCTCGAAAGGTTTGCTGAAGAAGTTGTCGATATCACGAGTCCTATCCTCGCGTGTGGGACCAGACTCATCAGTGATGGGCTGTACGGCAATATCTATGAGAATTCCATCCTCGTCCACATCTTCGTGGTCTTCGACAGTAGCTTGCTGATGCTGGCGGGCTCGTTTGGCTGACAGTTTCAGGTGAGCTTTGTACACACTCTCTTACATGAATAGATAAACTTACATTTGGGGTTTGTCTGCGCATTTTCGCGTTCCTCGTCACTCGGTTCATAGCCTTCTTCAGCATCTTCGGTGCGTGATCGTTTGTTAGTAGGCGCAGGGACAGTGGGTTCAGGAGCAGGTGGACTGGGTGAGTTAGTGGGCTGGGGATTGTTGGAACCATGCTTTGCGGCCTCTGCCGCACGAAATGCATTGATGGCTTTGGTTTGAGATGGGAGAGCCGCCTTCTCAGAATGCTCGAGGAGCGCAGCAGAGGGCTTGATTTTGCGCGCTGGACGCACTGGTCGAGGTTCGTCATTACTATCTGAGAGGATTGTTCCTGCCATTAGAATTAGGGATTTGTGAGTAGGGATAGCGACGTACTAATACTATTTATCTCAATAAATCATTGAGATTGTGCCACAGATAGATGACGCTTCAAAGATCTAAGTAGTATCGAGTTCACGAAGCATGACAGAAGGCAACTCACAGTTTTTACTGGCTAGCGTACGAGTATGAGCCGGCGTCAGACACGCCGTGCTCTGATGCTCTGATGCTCCTTTTGGCTAAGCTCTGCAAACATTCATCAAACACTCGACTTCTCTCAGGCCTCTATTCCATCAGACGTCTCGGATGTGCTTAAGTGTGTGTTGGATTCGCAGAAGCTGCTGACATGCAGATGAGTCCGTGGTAAGGAGGAAGTAGCGCCGAGGAGCTCGTCGTTGTCTCAGATGACTAGTATAGCTGTAAGAGTAAAAGCCACGGCTCGAGCCGCCGGCTCTGGCTTTCCAACTGCCCAGGCCAGGCCCTAGGCCGTGGTCAGGCCATGACTTTGGCCCGGCCTGGCTCGGCCTAACTAGGGCCGGCTTTGGCCAGCCCACGGCTTGAAGCCGGGCCGTGCACATCACTACACGGGATGGGTAAGGTGTCATATTGGGTGCTGCAGTTCCTGGCTGCGTGGTTCCGATTGGGTACTTTCTTGGGGGCCATTGAGAGGCTTTTCTACGTTTTTTTTTTCTGAAGCCGTGCGTTCTACACGTGTACGTTGAGGTGCGTTCGTTGACGTTTTTGAGGCTGTGGTGTCGTGTTTAGTGGTGCCGAAGTCCGGTTCGGTTCGGTTCTTAGGCCTCTAAATGCGAACGCCGAACTGAACCATCGGTCGCGTTCAGGCAAGGAGGACGAACGCTGGACCGGACGCTGATGAACGCGTTCACAAGTGTTCGGTTCGAGTTCAGAACGTGTTCGAACGCTCGAACGCTACATATAAATTGACAAAAATTGCAAGAAATACATGAACAGTAAATGAGTAGCTAAATTTCGTCCATGGCAGAGTGTTCGTGAGCAGCAGCAAACTCAGCTTGAACCGTTGCGGAAATATGGCCTTGACGGTACCCACTTTTCAACAGCTGTAGGGCCTCAAATGTTGTTGGCAACAACCGATTACGGCGCGTGGTCCCAGTGATGCCGCCACTCGAAAACGCTCGTTCAGATGCGACGGCAGAGCCTTGAATAGCGAGGTAATCCTTTGCAATGCGAGAGATGGTGGGATATTGAATGGAATGGTGCTAAAGGCATTTTAAGTCAACTTGCAAGGAAACACGATGCGAAAAAACTCACGCCCCACCACGCCACTATATTCTCAACATCTTCTAATGGGGCAGCAAGGTACTCGTCGAGCTCCTGGTGAGGTCTTCAATTTGCGGTGAGGTTCACGAGTCGCCGAAAACGATTGTTGAGCATTGGCAGGTTCCTGGTTATACAGTAGGTTAATACAACATTTGAGACTCGACTGGACACTCGCACATACCTGAAGCCGTCATCGTCACCGTGGGACCCACGTTGCACTCGCTTGGGTGCGGGCTGTCCTTGGGGAGGCACTGGAGCCACTCGTTTGGCAGCTTTGGCTGGAGCTGTGTTGCCAGCATTGCGGATTTTTTCTGTCGGTTTAACGGCTCGGCCTGAGCGAGACACGAAGGCAGTTAGCTTGCCATTGGATGCAGGAGGCGGAGGTGGAGCAAGCATGGGGGTGTCATCGTCGGGATCATTGTACCAATCGATGGCGCTAACGTCTTTGAGTTGGCCATTGGATCCAAGTGCGCAAGACATTCTCGCAGCCAGAAGGGTGAATATTGTACCTGTAGTAGCTCATTTATACCAAAATTTGTGGTTAGAGATTAGAAAAATGCGACGCACCTTGAACATATTGTTGCCATGCAATGACTGCAACAGTTGATTGATGTTGAAGCAAAAGCAAGTACCTGAACGAGCATCCCAAAGATATGTTCTGAACATAGATTAAATTATAATCCTAATAACGATTAACATAGGGCTTACCAAAACGTTGAATAGATCACAGAGGAAGTCAGACGTCACTAACAGAAATGCATTCAGTCTTTTGGTCGTGAAGTAAGAGCCGTTCTGGAGATCAATGCTCCCAGAACTGCCAATGGCCATATGAGTTTGTTGCCAGGTGATCAGAAAAAATATTAGGATAGATGGATAGCAATAAGCTGAGGACCTCAAGCGGATCATAGACAGAAGGAAAGAACCGTTCGAACGCGTTTGAACGGGTCCAGACGGGTTCACAAATCCGAGGCATCAGCCGAACGCTGAACCTAATAATAGGTTCGGTTCTTGAGGGCATCTAGGAATTCGAATTTCCGGGTCCGTCCGGCCGAGTCCGGCTGGATCTGTCCGGCACTATAATTTGTATGCAAAGGAGCAACAAAGGAGTATGACACTAATATATACATTACACGAACATCCGAACTGCAGCGCAGTGCACAGATGTGGTCCGAACTATTTCAGAGATACCCTCGTGAGTCACAAGTACAAATATGTAACAGTTTAGAATCTGCAACAAATCTGCAAGGTTCACAGTTGAGTCCATTGCAATTGGCAGGCAAGCACATAAATGTAGCACCTTTGATGGAGGATGAGAAAGCCAGTTATTGGTAGTAGGTGAGCACAAAAGTGTAGCGGAAGAAAGCCGGCCAGCCCGGTGCACGAGGAGGACAGGCAAATGCCCAAACCATATCTATAACTACACAAAGCTGTAACCCGACAAGGCAAGGCTGGTATATTGCTAACTTAATATTGTGTTTGAGACAGTAACGAGTCGTAAAAATGAGCTCATTGTGTGATGCGACGTTAAGAACTGACAAGTTGTGCACAGACGGATCCGGACAGACCCGCACGCAGCCGGACGGAGACTGCCGGAAATTCGGATTCCCAGACTTTCTGCGGTTCTTACCGTAGGCTGAACCTCGGACCGAACGGACAGTCCGGTTCGGAAGGGTTCGCGTTCGAACCGAAGTTCCGAACCGGACTCCGGCATCACTAGTCGTGTTCTTGTCCAATCGGCCTCTACTTTTAATATTGGTAGAGGTTTAATGCGAAACCCGAATCCCACTCTCTCACCAAGATGGACTGGCGCGGCTGGCTATGTGCCTCCGAACAGTGACCTGGTGGAATGGATGATCTCTGACTACGACAACTGCCTCTCTGGGACCTTCGTGCTGACTAAGCTAAGCTAACCCTTGCTCCCTTGCTTCCGTCGGCCTCCACTGGCCTCTGCTAGCCCTTGCTGGCTCTCTACCCCGATCACCCCCTGCTAGGGGGTGCCCCACTCCAACGATATCCTGCGCTAGACTGGGTCGGGAAACCATCAGAGTTCAATAGCTGTTTACCAGCCGACATCAGTTCGTACAAAGCTCCCCCATGCAAGCTGCCATCTCTATCAGAAGGTTGCATCCGCCTTGCATTGTGTTCCCTGTGACAGGAGTCAGGCGGAAGCCTGGCCAGAATAAGGGGATACATTTCACGTACGGAACCATGGCAGATGGGCTTCGTGACCTGGATATAACCACGGAAGACAAGCTACCTCAATTCTCGCGGGCAATGCCTCTGCCAGCTTGGCGGACGTTCTTGCTTGTCCTCACATGGAGCCGTCATCTCCTTGAGACTCACCGTAATATCCGAGCCATGCTGCTTTCTCTTACATATCCTTTTCACTCGCTCTCGTTATCTCACCTTGTGCTCAAACTTCACGATCTCCTTGCTTCAGCGAAGTATTGTCACCTCGCCATATGCTCACCATGCTCGTTCCGGCCTAGTCAAGTATTTGAAAACGTATGTATACTCCCCATGTACACTCATACCTACAGCAAATGTTACAGTGAGATCCCCGCTCCAAGAACGATTGAAAATTCCTCCAACAGTCCTCGTCTCTAGTCCTAGTCCCATCCCTCTTTGTGTTACCTATTAATACGTCTTATTTCTATCTCGCAATTCCCTGCCGAACTCATACACAACCTTACAATATATGATTTGATTTGCGACATATAGTGTAATCTGTTTGTTTACTGCGTTTGCGTCGTTGCCATTCACCGTCGATTCCAAATCCAATTCAACAGGCTACGGTCAACCACTCCTGCGGCCGAGAACGTATCCGGAAGATCCTCACCTACTCCGTTATATCATTGCGCATATATCTCAAAGTCGCCTTTCCCTCGATAGATTGCATGGGAACAACGGACCAGTGGAGGTTTGCTTCACATTGGGGCATATAGACCTAAAGTGCCCCATGACTAGACAGGAGTAACAGTGCTGTCTTATACTGTCAAAGACAAAAATTTGGATTTTTTTAAAAAAAACACAAAGGTCTATGGCGATCCGTTAAGCAGAAGGCTTCCACTCAGCAAGCCACTCCTTCATGTACATCAATCCCGCTTCCTGCACGGTCGCAACTGTCGGATCCACAATGGCATTCTGTACCAGCAAATCTGTACAGTGGAATCCATCGCCCTCATAGATCGGCCTACTGGTAGTGTTGGGCTTATTCAGCCCATCAGCAGAGACAGTTGCCTCGCGCCAAGGGTCACGCATGCCATTCGCGAAGAAGAGACGCGGGACGCTCGCATCCCAACCACCGTACATTGCGTTCGTCTCTTCCGTGGTAGGCTCAGGTGGGCAGGCGAATGCTTCAGGGAACATGTTGACGCATTGACGCTGACGATGATATCGACGAATGGTCATCTTCCAAGTTATACTGTACATACCTGCTGATAAACGGGTTGGAGGATGCGGCTCACGATGGCAGGCTCGCACTCAGGAGGGCCAACCTGCCATCCGACTTGAATGGGTTGGAGGATGCGGCTCACGATGGCAGGCTCGCACTCGGGAGGGCCAACCTGATACCATCCGACTTGGTTACACCTGGAATGGCTGTCAGCGTGGACATTGAAGCGAATGAGAATACCTACACGATCCAGAACCACGACCTGCCTGCATTATTTACGGTGGCATTAGTCCAGTAGGACTGGCTCGTGTCATACGTCCCAAGACAAGTTCTAGTATCACAGTCAGCCAATCCGGACGACTAGGTCCCAGGGATACGCACTCAGCATCCTCGGATCCACAGACTTTACTGTCAAGTTTAGCCATGGCAATCAGATATCAACGGGACCGCCCACCATAGTCGTAGTATGTAGTGTTCCAAAAGTTTCCCCAAGCGTAGATGGCGTTTTCAAGTCCCCATCCCTCAGGTCCGGCACTGACGCCATTCTTTACCTCGAGTGCATCACAAAACTGGAAGAATATTGCTCCTGGGCCGACAGTAGGCTGCAGAGATTGCCAATCAAACAGGTTATCTTGAACTGTTGGTCCCAATAGAGTCAGTAAGGATAACAAGGTAATAGATCCGTATTCTCTGTCAAAGAGGACGACTCACGTGCGGTGGCAAAATCTTCTACATGAACAACATCACCGAGGCCAAATGCCTCCTTGAGCGTCTGGATTCCAGCAGTGTCACCAACCGCGTACATGTAATCTAGGTAGGAGATCACTGCTTCTACGTCAGAAGAACAGTTCTGTGGCATGTGGTTGCGAATTGGGGTGAAATAGTCATAATAGTTGCTGTTTTGGTCGAGAGCCATCAACAAGAAATGAACAGTGATTGCATCAAAGCAACGTACGTTATTGCCTCTACGACGCCAGATGATGAATATCCAGCCCAGAAAATTCCCGGTTTGCTTTGTGTCTGTCACTATACTGAAACAATGAAGTTATTTCTTGGCTCACTTGACCATTGTCCAACTCGTGAGGGCTCCTGAATAGCTTCCTCCAATCAGGATCCACGGTGCCTGACCTGGTTTCACAGCATCACCCCCAGGCATGGGAAGGTCGGCTGTGGTCGCAAAATACACGAGATCATCAATGGCCTGCTGGATGGTGAGGAGCGAGAGAGATTGTGACGTGAGGTTGTCGTATGGGTTGGAATAGCCAAAGAAACGATGTTCGATGATGATAGCTGCACCATTATGTTGTTGAGCAATGAGACCGTTCACGCTTTCATTGGTAGTGTAGCCTTCGAAGCCTGATGGAAAAAAGTACTTGAGAGAAAGGCGCAATTGAGTAACATGGCACTCACCATCTGCGTTAGATTCTCCAGGCGTCATCAAGATAATAGGGCCACCTTCAATGAATCTCATTAACATCGAGTACACCTCGATCCTCGCTACATACCGGGCTCATAAAACTCCCAGTTCATCCAGTATCGCTGCTGGAACGTTCCAAGGTCTGGATTATTGTGGTCTATGAGCTGGTCAAAATGATAGACGGTCGTAATGGGTGGGAGCGCTGTGCCATTCGATGAAGTGAGGAAGCGTTCAGGCAGTGGAAGTTTTGGGAGAGAATGCATGCCACGAAGCATGGCATTAGGGATAGCTGCTTGGGCGACGCCTGCAAGTAGGAGCGACGTAAGGGCCCACATGATGCCTAACCTCGGTCGCAAGATAGGATTAGACAACACGGTCGAGCAAAGTCTTTTTATAGTCATGGGAGGATGCGTAAGTGGATATATGCACTGTTCCTCGACGCGTAAGAAAAGCTGGAAAGGATATAATTGGACGTAGCTGTAAGTTTGTCAGTTGGGCTCGGTTGTTCTAAAAGGACCCGATGATGGATTGACGGCCAGGCAGCACTTTTCCACAGCCTTTCAAGTCGGGGTTCTTTACATGCGCTAACCTATCTGCCTCCTCAGAGAAGCTCCCGCCCATTTTCTCAAGCCTCTTGCCAAGTTCCTCTCGAGTTACATGGCCGCCCTACTGTGTGAACTGAAAGCTCTGTAGTTCTCACCCCTTACCTCACGAATCCACAAGGAACTTTGCGCGAGGTTTCGGAAAAACGTTTTGAGATGTTCTAGAAGAAGTTTTCGGAGGACGGTCTTCGTAAATAAGTCAAATTATGCCAACGTCCGATGCATGTCATCACGCTGCCTATATGACCAAATGTGCATTGTGCCACTATTTCCTTCACGCACCAATGTCCGAGTGTTTAGGCCTCCGGAAAACGCGATTGCTGGAAAGAGACCTACAATTTGATTCGCGGTTGCTGGACAATGCGATGGTCGGAACGGGAGGGGAAAAGGTGGTGAGAAGCCGAGCATGATGCGCCACAAACGTTATCGGAAACATAGATGCTGTGTAACTTGGTGTTGCTTACTGAGGGTGGACAATGACGCTCCCGCGGCACAACAGCGACGGGACCTGATAAAAATTCAGATGGCTCCAACTCCGACAATTCCTCCTCCGACACTCCCGACTATAGTCCGAACATTCAAGTTTATTAGGTGTCGAAAGTCCTGCCGTCTGAAGTAGGCATTGGAGATACTTTGCTTAGAGCAGGTGTCGAGGACCCCACGCTTGTGGTCAAAGTGGGTACGCTAGTGAACACTTGGTTGCATTAGATTCCAGTAGATCTACAAGAAAGCGAGCAACGAGGTTTATACCACAGAAAAATTATGCGTGTGAGGCTGACCTCCGTCCAGTCCCGCTGCTGTGGTGTTGAACATGTTGCTGGTTAACTTTAAGTATAACAATTAGGAATTTAAGATGCTGCATCTACTCACAACATCCAGGTAAGCCGCATTCTGAACCAATATGCTAGTCGGAATGGTCTCCACGTCTAATGGCAAAACGAAATTCAAGGTTTGAGGATACAAGGTCGCAGACTGACGGCTGGGTAGAAGTCGTGAAACGATTGGATTTCTAGGAACTCCAGCTTTGAAATACCGTGAAGTCGAGCATACTTGCAAGTCGATCCAACTCGCCTCTCGACTGTGACGCCATAACGAACGTCGGAGGGCTCGGCAGCGAGTAGGCTACTGTACTGCCGCATTGGTAAGGTTTGGCACCGTCGAGCAGAGGCACCTATATATCGCGCACCCACAGGGATAGCATCGATCCTAGGATCTGCCCAAAAAACAAAATTTTCGGGTCAAGGGACATCAAGAAATCTAAAGCCATACTTCCACCGCTGAAGGGGCTCCCGAAGCAGGCAGAAACCAAGCACAGATCCTGGGCATGAGCATTATTCATCTGATCTCACCTGAGCATGCGGTTAGACCATGTAGTAAAGCAAAGTAAGTAAGTACCCAATCAGATGCCCCGAGGCACGTTATAATGGCTATTATATATGCAAATGTATTTCGGAGTCTCTTGGAGTGCAGCGACGACAGCTATTAGGGCCACCATGCCTCGGTGAGTAGAGAAATGACGGATGACATAGAGAAGAAAAAAGCTAGTGCACATACCTAGCAGAATCCCGTTATTAAGGTAGGCCTCCTCAAGGCTTCATGATGCAAAGGCGGCAGCCCATGAAGAAGTTGTTAAGAAGGGTTGTAATCATGAAAGCTGGCACAGAGCTTTGAGTAATATACCTGTTCGTTGCCAAGTTACCCCTACTAGATTCGCGATTGCTTTGATGAGTCTGGCCCGGTGATGTTTAACAGTCAGACCTGGTGGTCGATGTTGGAGTTGGCGTGCAGAAGGGGAGGAGTTTAAATTTTGGGTCGGTGCCGTGTCGGACGGTCGGATATCCCAGGATCGAGGTGTCCTCTGACTGCCGATCTTCAACTCATGCGGCATTTCGTTGGTTCAGTATGTTATGTTATGTACCGAAATATGAGTGAAAAGTACAAGCGAGATAAGTATAATTGACTGAGACTCGTACTGGCAGGACAAGCAAGTACGGCCTCCGGCACGGCCCGCACAGGTCACCGTCTAATAATTTGATAGTCCGACTTGCTCTGCAGCGCAAACGGGTTCCTTGCAGGCTCCCAGGAAAGCTTCTGTTTCTCTGGCTCATCATCGAGTACTTGGTATCAACATCATGATCTCACCAGCTCCGACAAGACCCAGTGCATAAGTTATCGGTCGACTACCTCTGAAAACTTGGTTTTTTCTCGTTCGCCACGTCGAGTCACTGCAAAGTATGAAACACATGTGCGCCATCTACATACTTCAATCAGGCTGCTTAGCCTTGTTACACGCGTAACATGCGGCTATTTGTCAGACAGCTTGCGCCTGTGCTTACCTGTGCACCGCGTTATAATAGCTGGGCATAATGTCTAGCATATGCGGACGAGTATTGCATACCCGCTTCTCTGCTAACTTGAATTCAAATGCCCTGCTGTAGTGCCCCTTGTCGCATTCATGCTTAAAATCAAGGTCCTCAATTCAGTCTCTGTTCGATGTTGGGAGGCGTATGGAATGGCCCAATTCTGATCACTTCACGAGCCAAGGACGTTGCTCCTTAAACGTTCAATTTGACGCCAGATGACAGTAAAGATAGTACTGCAGCTTACGGTCTTTGTTGGGGGAGAGCGGATATATCTAAGCGGTGCTCGTGACGTAGTTGACAGATATACAGTGAACATTGGTGGACTAGCATGTATGCAGACTAAAATTCATTTTTTGCCTGAACAGTGAGAATACTGGCCATTTTGATTGCTCTCAGTTCTCGATATGGCATGGACGAACTTGAAGACGCGTACCTCTCATAGACGCCACTCAGAGATAAAAAGGAACACTCAGGTTGGCAGCGGCAAATGGAAGTGTGAGAGGGTTTGACAAACTTAGATCTGATAAGTCATATATCAATTGCCCCGTCAGCGCCTCGTCATTGAGGTCCACTGCATTCATCTTGTATAATTCGTGTTGTACATTGTAAGCCACCAGCTGATAGTCCATCTTCTAATGATAAAACTAGAAGGTACTCCCCTCTGGAGGCTGGAGAAGCTTCCGATTGTTGGCTGTCGCCATCTCCCTGCGCAGAAGGACATCAGTAACATGACAACAAATTCTTGATAAGATAAAAAAAGAATGGATGGATACCTTCTGATACCGACGAGAATGGTCTCGATACTGCTATCCCGCCCCCACTGAGAGAGCACATTGAGCCTCATAGGGTCAATCTTGCCATCGATCGGAGATACAAAAGGAAGGTTTACACGAGAGAGGAAGTGAACGGCGGGTGGCTTTTCGGGGTAATCGTCACCACAATGGATCTTCAGACTGTAGATTCGGTTCTCGTGGACAGTCTGCAGCGTGTTGTATAAATAAATTAGCGCATTTTACAAGGGGGAATAATAGAGGCAGAAGAACGTTTCAGAAGAGATCCAGAGAAGCATTAAGAGAAGACATGCGATACAGTGGCAGATCGAAGAATCCAGTACCATGTGCATCGATCAGCAAGCGATATAATACTGATTGAAAGCACATACGTGTCCTGGGCCAAGAATCGTTCCATTCCAGTTGCTCATCATTATATCGTCGCTATCCATAAGGCCATACGAACAACTGCCATCTCCTATGCCTTTCTCTCCTTTCTCCAGTTCTTCTAGGAGGCGAAAGTTGCGGGGGACTATAAGAAATTAGTTAACCATAACTTGTGTTATAATACATTATCAGACTTACCTCTGGCCGCCATTCTCCTTTGTAGAATCGAAAATGAGTGATTGTATACGATGGTATAAGTATGACTTGGGGCTAAGATAGTGTTTGGGAGCAACGGGTATTTGCGGCACAGCACTGCCTCCGCAGTGGCCGCGCAGCCTGAGTCTGTAACTCGTTGTCACTAGCAATCATATTCGTCATCTTGTTCAACAACCAGGTAGCTTAAAGCAACCATGTTTAGAGCAAATCAAGCAAACCCTTATGATGACATAGTGGGTGCGTAGGCGCGATGCTCACCGTATCAACCATTGTATTCTGATACATTGTCTTCAATCCTTCAGCCAAGGCTACCGACGAGAATTTGACAGGCGAGAACTGGGAGGTCATTCTCAATTTGTGTGATAAAGTGCAGGAAGAGGGTGAACAAGGGTGAGCTTTTCGCTGCATCACGATCTCAAGTTGTTGGTACTCAATAACCGATTTTGACGGGAATTGCGTTTGGTAGTGCCCGTAACGTGATCGCAGTACTCTTGAAGCGGCTGGCCCACCGTAGCCCCAATGTACAACTCTACGCACTCTCGCTAGGAGAGTCTCTCTCAAAAAACTGTGGTATCGACCTTCATCGCGAGCTTGCTAGCCGAGCATTTACCGGGGCATTGGAGAAGCTTGTTCTTGATCGGGTGCGTGCATACTCCTGCTTTTGATATTGTCCTTGAATTCCAACTTGACACTACGCCATGTTATACTTCTGATTAAACTGACTCGGATGCATGACAGACAACACATGACAAAGTTCGTCGGAGGGCTCTCGGCCTCATCGCGATGTGGACGGCAGAGTTTGAACACGACCCTACTCTAGGAATCATGGAGACTTGCTACGATAATCTGAAAGCAAAGAGTACGTTCATCTTTTTTCACCTTGACCCACCGCCCTTCTACACCAACCCTAATTCCTACCGTTCTCTCCTTTCATGCATCACCGTACGATATCCCTTCTTATCCATTGGCTCACAGACTATCAATTTGAAACCCCCTCCGAGCCAGCCCCTCCCAGCGTCGACGACGAGGCACGGCGACGTGAGGAAGAGGAACTTCAGCGGGCCCTCGAAATCAGCATGCGTGACAAGGGTGGGCGGTCTACTTACGCACCTGCTACCTCAGCTGGTTCCTCTGGTGCAGCTGCCAAGCATGCATCCGGGTATGTTCCAGCGCAGTCACCAAGTCCAAAGGATCCCGCGTATGCTGCAAATAATAGTAAACATCCAAATGCCAGGACAACGTCAGGGTATTCTGCCACAAGTGGGGGAGTTCCAGCCATGGCTGCCTCTTCGACATCGTCACTGCCGTCCCAAGTCTCTACGCCAGTAGTCACTCGCGTCCGCGCTATGCACACCTTTGAGCCTACGGAACCGGGCGAACTCGCCTTTGAAAAAGGTGATGTGATCAAGGTGGTGGATCGAGGCTACAAAGACTGGTGGCGAGGACAATTGAAGGGACGCACAGGAATATTCCCCGTGAATTATGTTGTACGTCTCTTTACTTCCACTTAATCGTGATAATCGGCTCACTTGTCCCCAATCGTTACTGTTTCCCTGTTCTGGTCTATGTGTTTGTCACTCCATTATTTATTCCGCTATGTGTAGGAACCTCTCCCTGAGCCAACTGCTGCTGATATTGCGCGCGAGGCAGAGCAGGAAGCGGCTGTCTTCGCTCAAGCTGCGAATGTCGATCGACTGTTGACAATGCTGAGGAGTCTGGATGCTTCGAGAGAGAACCTAGCGGATAACGAGGAGATTCAGGAATTATACCGCTCATGCATGAGCCTCCGTCCCAGGATTGTCAAGCTCATCGACAAGTACAATCAGAAGCGAGGTGCGGGTTCTTTTCCTTGTCTTACCCAGATCGTATTGATGAATGACACAGCTGATTTGGTGTCGATGAACGAGTCCTTTGTGAAAGCACGCACGATATTTGATCGAATAATGGAAGACAGCCTTGCGCGTCACACCGCAAGTGAGCAAAACAGCTCTCTGTTATTACCAGATCTCCTCATCTTCTGCAGTGTATGATTCCGGTCCACAACCCTACGGATACGGTTATGAACAACCCCAGCCATATGGGTATGGTCCCAATAATGCTTATCAGCATCAGGTCGAGCATCAACCCCAATCCCAACCTCAACCTGGACCACCGCAACAACCCGACCCCGCATATGCATACCAGCAAGGGCAAGTTTACGGTGCGCCCGTCGGTGGGGCACCGTACCCTCAGCCCGCACAGATACCGTACCCACAGACTTCGCCAACGCATTATCCTCAGCAACAGCCTCAACAGCAACTGCAACCGCAACTTCATCCGCAACCACAACAACCACAGACACAACAATCTGCTGAGTATTCTCCCGGAGTACATGCCCAACAGTCGCAGCCGCAGCCGCAGCCGCAGCCACAAACTCAGCAACAACCACCTCAGAGTGCTGGCCCGCCCTACGTTTTCGATCCCAATGCAACATACCCAGATCCAAACGCTCAAGCATGGGCGCAATATTATGCGCAGGGCGGGATGGATCCCGCTGGGGCGGTGTACTTTATTTCAGTGCCAGGCGTAAGTGATACACCGTCACCGCCAGAGCAAACCCCTCAATCGCACCAACCATCACTGGATCCATACCAAGCTCAGGCTCAGCAACTGCCTGCACCACACCAGGAACTCACGCGCCAATCGTCGACCTCCCAGCGCGCAACGTACACGGACCCCAACCCCCAACAAAGCCAATATCCCTCGCAGCCATACTACCAAGACCCTGCATCTGCCCCGCAGGTGTCACCGACCAGTGCAACTGGTGGCATATCTTCGCTGCAACGGGCATCATCTGCGACTACAGGTGTCCCAGTCCCGTACAGCTATCATTCTCCATCGCATCAGCAACAGCTCTCTCCAATTGGACAGAGTGGATATGCTGGACCGGGGTCTGAGGGACATGGGTATGCGCAGCCGGCAAGCGATGGTTATGGGGCGCCCGCACCAGATGGCTACGCTCAGGGTCCGCCGTCAGGGCCAGGGTATGGGAGTTCTCCGTCCGAGTACCCACAAGGTCCCGGAGCACATGGTAACGTGCATACTTTACAAAACCAATTTTTGGATATGTCAATTGGAGGTCCGCAGGCTCCGACGTCATGAGTGAAGATGCATGGATAAATGGACGAGTGTTTATAAACGTTTCTAGGTGACCCTAAATTATTGTCTCAAATCTGTGATATGCGAATTATTCTCGAATTTTGCGGTGAGGGTATGAACGTTGTTGTAGGGTCTAATCATCGCATATCCTTGGGCCATCTACAGCTGTGGCTGGTCACATTGTACTCTGTATGACTCAACAAACGAGCAATCGGTAAACGCCTTCGCATTTCTTTTGATCTCCTGCGTCATTGAAAGCGTGTTGGCGGCACCATCTTAGGAAATCATCACACGTATCATCCCACTCCTCGCTTTGTGGAACCAACTTATGGCGGAGATATTGCCATCGGCAGATGTGAGGTCCTCCAGAAATTGCTGTCCTCCGCGACTGGCAAACGACCAATCAATTCCTCAAAGAGGCCTGCCATCATCATGGACTCGGTTTCACAACATCCCCGTTGAAGTGCCTGATCTCCTTCACCTCGTTAAGTCTGTTAGAACATTACCAAACTCACCCCGTGCTGCAGCCTCCTCGTCGCCCCAAGTCTGGATCCAGGTCGATGAATTGCGAAGACAAGGAGCAGGGACGGTAAACATGGTCAATCAAGTTCATTCACAGACCTGGCGTGCCCTCGAGAAGCAGAACCAGGTGGCGCAGCAGTTGATGGTCTCTACCTTTGCAGCGCTCTCTGCAATACATGCGTCTTTAGAATCCACCTGCGGTTACCTTAAAGAACGGATGATTCGGTATCGGAAGACCCCTGAAATCAGACAATCTCTGCTCAGCGAACAAGGCTCGACTCTCTTTTATCAGAAACCGAACACGAACACGGTCGAGTGGAAAAGGAAAAAGATACTGTTGCCCAGCAGCTATCTGCTTTACAATTTGCACAGAGCGCACAGTTCCTTGATCAATCAGCCTGAGATTCTTGGGCGAGTCTACCATAAGATTACTGCATGAGTGATGTCAGGACGACTGGTGGTCAGCATGAACTTGCCCGCTGCATCAAGTACAAGCTCAAGTGAATTGTCAATGTCAGGACCTAGCGTAAATGATTCGAATAAATACTATGACGAAAATATTGCCTAAACCTACTCATTGAAATCTACTTTAGGACACCAAATAATTATCTCAGTACATGACAAGGCTTACAAAACACGAATTTTCCTGCTTCCTGCAGAGCACCAGACACCATTCACATCTCGTGTGTTATACACCACTGCCAGTTGATATATGCACACGCTCCTGGAAAGCGATTGAGGTCATGCCGGTTGCTGCGTCAGAGTTGGTCACGAGGTTAGCGTGGTATGTACGAACGCCAAGGATCAGGCGTGGTCCCAGCACAGACATCTCCACGACCTCCAAAATGTGAACCAAGCCAAAAAAAGTCTGAACTTCTAGAGAACTTAAGTCCTATAGAAATGATGAACCGTGGTCGCATGCAGAGGTAAGTGAAAGATCGACATACCGTTATGGGTGTTGGAGAGAAATTAACAATGAGCTGGAAGCAAGAAACAGCAAGAACGCTACCACGTCCGACCCTTCAGTGAAAAAAAAGGAACAATAAGCACAATATGAGCTTACCTCGCAGAGTAAACCACGTGAGTTTTCATCAACGTCATAAAACAGTCCCTGATCATTCCTCCTGCCGAATGCTGTCGCAATTCACGAAAGTGTTTTACTGCAATCCAGAATGCGAGACACAGTGTGAGGACCTCCCACACAACGATGAGTATCCAAGTAATGGAAACCAGAGGTGGGATATCTTTTGCAGAGTCAGTCGAGCACTGATAGCTGTCAGAGAGAAGGAATTCCTCTATTCATCAGTGAGCCACATGCACGTTTGCTTTCATCCACAATGAAGCGTACTATGCATCGTTGCAATCACGTTAGATACTCCACCGAAGGTGTTGATAGCCAGGAAGGTGACAATGAGAAATATCCGGATCTTTCTGGACCGCTGATACATGGCATGCAACCGAGTGATGATGATGACTTGCAGCATGTGTCAGTCAAGTCGATATCACCGAGGTCTCACAAGTGCCAAGCTCACCCCATAGCATCACAAATACTAGACCGCCAGTCCAATTCCACATGACGTACACGATCCAGCCTGACGAATCCAGTCAGTGATCGGCCTTCGGTAGCACACACCAACGACTCACATCTGTGCCATTATAACGTGACAGTTATTAGTGAACCAACAAGTTAGCAAAGAACTACACGCACTCCTACGGGGCATCACGATTAATCAGAGAGAAATAGCAGGCATCTATGCAGAAGACTCACTGTATCCGTCAGCGAGATGGTCGGAACACCCGCTGTATGCCGTTGGTCAGAAGAAGCGGAGACAGTGGATGTACTGAGGAGACATACTCAGCATGCTCAGGCTGATTATGACAGATGGACGATTAGCACAACACCCATTACTTAGCCTTCCAAACATACGCAGCATATAAGATTCCAAGGTAGCGCACCTAGTAGGGTGATTTCAATTCAGTACAGCATGACAACCGTGAAAAATCGGCTACGTACACCGAGATACAGAACCGTCATTAGGGACCAACGTTGCCTCTGTAATTGAGTTTATTATCGTGGTTATTCTTTTGACATATGACTCTACTTACCCAGACCAACTCGACCTATAAGAGGATTCTTAGCGAGATGGCTGCTCCGGTCATAGTGTCGACATACCTCTTGCCCGAATGTAAGTGCTGAAAATACTTTCAGAGATATCAGCAGTCATTTAATGCTTTCATGCTCACCCCAATCATATGTCACTCCAACAAATGCAGCAACTATGAAACCGCCGTCAGGTTCAGATTAATACATCGGCTTCAACATCCGACTGTTCTCTACGAACCTATGAAATAGCTGGAAAAACGATATGCATTGATGGTCAGCCACCAAGTGGGATCATTTGAGACCATGGCCATATTGGTAGAGAATGGGTGTGGATGAGAGGCGAACTTGGTAGACGCATGACAATGACATTCGCGCTATTATATACCACTGAATCCAGTGCTTACCAGACTCCGCTTCCAAGTTGGAATTCGTCAACGTTCTGTCTATTAATGTGAGTGTGAAAGTCAGGACGATCGGCCGCAAAGTTTACTTGATTGTGAACGTGTCGGGTGCCATTCGCCGGACACTTGGAGTTCCTGTATTCTTTATATAGATTATAGAACATTGTTGCTGACTATAAGACACCTTGAAAGCGTTACTAATCAGTAATTAGGAGAAATTTAAGGTGGGAGGGGTTTCCTGATGTTCCTGTAATCAAAGATACAAGAGCCTTGAGTTGTAGACCTCGATCAACCCTGCGCCCCAACATCTCGGTCGATGGTGAGAGTGTGAGAACCATTTGTATTGAGACTCATTGATGCAGCAATTGAATAAGGACTACGACCACCATGCCATCATTAGGTGCAACAGATCCAGTAACTCGATCACTATAAACAATGTCAAGGGGTCGCAGTGCGTGGCGGAGAACCTGGAACCACAGTGACCAGTCTCTTGCTGATTCTCTTCCCCATTTCGTCAGTTACATCCTCAAAGCGAACGATGATGTCCTCCCTATAGTCTTCCTGGTCTTCATCGTCATCACATAGCTGTGATTCAAGTCTTCCGCCAGACGCCGCGATGATCAGATCAACGGGATCAGAAAAGTCGAAAGATGGATCGGAGGCAGTGGGTTTTTCTTGCATGAGGCTGTACCCGGCGGCCAATATGGTGGCGCCCCAGATCACGGTGAGCACCACCAACAGAAAAATGTACGTGTAGGATTGGCTTTGCCAGCCGTACGTCGTGATATACATCGTACCGCTCGTCGACCTTGCCATATTCGACGGAACTCCAGAAGCAGAGTATCCGGATCGAAGTTGCTAGATGCTATTTTCAGTGATATCCACGGAATGCATCAAGGTCACTTACAGTAGAGGAGAATTCCGCAATACCGCGCCAGTAATCTTCCTGCAAATTAATCAGTCATGCTGATGCCAGAGGAAGGGGGAACACTTACCAGTTCACTATACATCACTGATACATTGCTCGTACCGTACGCGGTCAAAAAGTCACCAATTGTATTCTTAGTTACGGCTTGGTTTGACGCCGCCTGATAATTCATCACAGTCGCGATGTACTGAGATAAAGGAAAATTCGAACTGCTTGTTGAGCCAGAAGACGTGCCAATCCGATCAACAGATATGATACCTCCATTATAAGTGACGCTGATTGTGGTCAGGTAGGGGGTGACCTCGCAAACGATCGTTGGCAGAAAGCTGTACTTGTACAAGCCAGACATGAAGATATCTGCAAGCAGTTCAGTCGCAAGACACCGAGGAATATAGGAAAAGCCATACTAAACTTATATGGGTTGAATGCCGTCGAGTTTGGGTCGGGACATACAACAGTGGGGAGAATTCCATCAGTTGCATTGTTTGCCTGACCGTTCGCGTTGCCAACGGTGAAGGAGGTTATTGAATTTAAATCTGGAGCTGATTAGCTGTGGACGAGTCCATGACTGAGATGGACGCACTTCCTGAACAATTTGCAACGACCTCCCACGTCAGGAACGTGATGTTCAGGCCCGTAGGTCCTGGCACCGCTGTTGGGATGAAAGTAAATGTGTTCTGGCTGCGGTTGATCGGCCGGCATGTAACATTTACTGTGACACCTTGCTGTGTAATGCTGTAGTTCTTCGAGATGCCTTGAGTGCCTGAATCATGTCCGAGGTGTGCCCAGTCAAAACTGGTATTAACTGGTACTTGGCCTCCAGTGAACGCCAGGCCGACGTCAAAACCCGGCACAACCGATGATCCAGAGTACTCCTGTATCGCGGGAAGAATTCCACCTTTCACGGTTGCAGTGAGGACGTCATCTTTGAACGCCAAGGCACTCACCAGTCGACTGATTGTATGAAACTCCGTTGAAGCTAAACATACTACTCGTGTCCACACCTCCCTGAATGTCAACCGCAGCAGTACCACTGAGGAGAGTCAAGACATTCAAGACTTCAAAAGCAGGTGCTTGAACTGGAACGCTTCTTCTTCAGCACCCCAACTATTGCTAGCCATTGAAATTGAAGCGGTTACATACCGGAGTTCGCATTGGGGGTAGTAAGGTCTGTACTCAACTGGTCTACAAAGGCAGCAGATCCTAAGTCTAGTTCGGTTCCGAAGGTTCCCACAGGCCATTCGACAAGGGTGGGTAGGAGCAAAGTGCTCCAACTGCATAAACCAGCGTCAGATATATCTCTGCTGGGTTCATTAAGAATAATGCAGACCTCGTGCTCAGAAATGTGACCATCGCGTAAACTACCAACGTGAGGAGCGACAGCTTGAGAAATCTCCATCGCAATACCCAGGTCGGCCTGCTCAGCGCTATTGCAGTACGAAGCTTGAACAGTGTAATCGATGGCCCCTAGAGATGGTGCCGAAACGCTTCTTTGAGGGCAAATGTGGAGAACCTGTACAATAACAGCAGGGTAGTATTTCGGACTGAATTTGTAAAGGAAAACGCACATTGAAGTAGTGATCGACAAGGCAGTTGAGATCAACGTGACTATCAAGGTCAGCACGGTCGGATGCTCTACGATCAGATGAACGACATTATCAGGTAGCGCGAGAACCCCTGTGTACAAGATTGCTCCGGTGAAGCCCCATGCAAAACCCATGATCACAGTCTGGCCGAAGATAGTGAAGAGGAGCAGAGAAGTCGCACTCAGGCGCTGCAAGAAGACCCAATCAACGAGGCCCTGGAGAGTAATGAAGGTTGGCTCACGATTTGGACAAAGTCTGCGAAGTGCATCTTGAAGGTAGGAGCGGGGAACCGCGATGAGAACCTCTGTCTGACATCTTAAATATTGCTGCAGGGCGGTATTAACTCAGTGCATATCACGGAAGGCGAGAAGCGAACATCGTGATCTTTGGACTGCAACACACGTTGATCCATGCTGATTTTGAAACAGACTTTCATATCAGAACCCTGACTTACCATTTAAGTTCAGGTCAAGCAAGGTTTCTACTGATGCAGGAGGCTATTTTTGAGTTCCTGTGTAGCAGGATGACGGTCATCCACATGCCGCGGTGTATTTTCAGCAAGGAGAAACTTTTTCTCTGCTTGCTGAGGCTGCCACGGAGTGCCACGGTGAGGGTCCACTTTCCAAGCTAAAGATTCAGGTGACCTGGGCCCAGCATACTGCAGTGGTGGAGGATAATATGGAGCATTCTGCCAGTGATTCTATTTTAGTGGTGTAGTGCAAAGCGAAAAAGATACGGTACTCTGTGCAATGCGCAAACGAAAGTGTGAATGATGGTCGACGGTAACTACGTAGCACTGCTAGTGTACTACTTGGACATGTACAGCCGGTACCTATGACTAAAATTCAAACTCCGTGCTCGAGACTACGATAATTGGCTACGGCCCAAACTCGCTGAACTCGCTGTGTCTTTCCCCGATACCAAAACTGTAAGAAAATCAGCAACTCCGATCCATTCGACTATGTAAAGTCAAACACGTCCCATGATGTGATTATCGATAGCAGAATTTTACCAATACCTTGTGATTCGGAAAGTTCAAGCAGCTTAATTATCGAAAGGACTCTGCCAGAGTGCCACACTGCGTCCGAGCCAAGCGCATCGTCCAATTTGACATGAATTTTCTTTCGAAGCCGTGAGAGACGTTCACTTGATATCGAATCGAATTACTGTTAACAACTCCTGTATCTGATCCAATAGCGACTCTACCAAATAATCTCCTCTGCCTCGTACACGTCATGATACGCACGGTTCGAAATACAATGTTTGCAAAACGAATGTCTACTTGTATGACTACCAGGCTCAAGCTCTTCACAGGAACTGGATTTCGGCGCGGCATGCTAAGTGGAAGTGCATTCAACGCCGAGGCTCGCGCAATTCAGACATTCGATTATTACGTTCATCGCAAATCGTGTCTTGCCACATGAGGTGTTATGCCAGATCAGCGTTTTGCAACTTCATTCTTACCCACAAATCATCAGTGGACCTTATGAGCGATCATTTCTGGCTCCGAGGCAACAAATCGGAAAATTGAAGTGTAAATTGGTTGTACAAATGAGTAGAGGTATACAGTCCTGAAGTCCGGAATAAAATAAGTCCTTGGTAACAAGTTCTGCATGGTCATGACTAGATGCGAAGTCATTAGAATGGTTTCATCAATAAGGTGGCAGGACGCACGGAATTGGTCATATGCCGATATGCACGAACACTATGCGCTGGGCCAAGGGAACTTGAATGACCCTATCGCTAGCTAACGACTGAACCGCTCGGTGCAATGCTTGGGCAGCTCGTTTGGAATCCATCGTGCCATCCCCGCACAAGTTTTTGTAAAACTTCTCAACAAAACGCTGCACAGTGCTGTCATCGACCTTCCATAACGTCCCAACGACACTCTTAACCCCGGCAAACTGCAGGCCAGCTGCTAGGTGTATCACTTCGTCGGGAGTTCTGAAGTCACCGACTGCGGTTTCACAGGCAGAAAGGAATGCAAATTGATGCCGAGACATATCCATTTGTGCGATATCGAGGAGCGAAAGCGGTTGGTCCTGCATAAGAAAGGCCGACTGGAAGGGTTCGTCAAATCTCTGCGTCCCGTGACATGCAAGATGGAACCAGGTATTGTCTTGCAATGCGCGCAGTGCTGTCGATTTTGTGGCATCGACACTGGTTATCTTGGAGAATGAAACAGTTGGGGGAGGGGGCATGAGTCTGCGCACCAATTCCAGCTCAGGCTCCACAGCATCCAAAGTGAATAAGGCACCGGCTGGGTGATTTTGACCAATAGCAACAAAGGGCACCAACGGGGACCTATCATGACTCGCGCGAGCCTTGATCAGCGCGGTGAGCGATGGGGTGTATGAAGAAATATAGAGCCGTGAAAGGGACCCTCCGTCCTTCTTGTATCTACCAGCAGCGTGCAATGGCAAGAAATTGAAGATAGACGTCGGACACCACCATATCCGAGAACCTTGCCGTACAATTCTGCCCAGATTTTCGACCACTGGCTGGACAACAATGTCCCACAACTCTGTCAAAGCCCCCATCAGCGCTCGTTGCTTCCCATCGGGATCGGGATCTTTGTCAACTGCCTCTCGGAATCTGAGTACCAATTCTATGAGTTTTTCCAAATTGGTAGGGAGTTGAATGCTAGTAGGATCTTGTTCGTGCGGGATAATGATGGCATCACAAGACGATCTGCTTGCGATGAGCATGATGATGGGCCCATCACGACCTGCATCTTGAAGATCAGATCATCAGAGAACAGAGGGGGAAGCAGGAAGCGAGAGAAGCCCTCGATCTTCCGGATCTCTTCTACAGTTCCATTCCATTCCTCCACTAGACGTCTGTATCGAGTTTCTTCTGCTTCTACAACAACTCTTGAGGCGCCTTCTGAATGACTCGCAGGAGGCTTATTGAGGAGGGAGCTGAGGTCTCTGAATTTCTTCATCAGGGTCACTGCATGATCGCCGCAAGTCTCGAGGCTATCAAGAGGCGTGCGGAGTCGCGCCATCTGGGTCCAAATGATAGTCCTGCCTTGCTCCAACAGCTCAATAGCGCGACGCGCATCGCCACTGCGAAGGGCACATGACGCAGCATCCACAGCAAGCGTGCTGGGGAATTCCTTCATGACATCATGACGAGACGACACAGAGGCCGTCACAGACATGTAAGCGTCCAGGAGTTGCATAGAGGTCACATAAGCCTCCAGTTGAGTGCCATGTGAATGTTCACTAGCATGGCGCACCCAACGCAGACTTCTTCGCAGGCGGGATAGCAAGCCTCCAGAGACAACATTTGCTGCTGCCTTCAGATGACGCATGGCAGCATCCAGATGGTCTGTATTGTCACCTGCGACGGTGCCGGCAAGCCCTGAACGATGGAATAATAGATAGACCTCAGCTAGCGACTGATGGACTACCAATCGACGAGGATCATGCTGCCTCAGCAGAGTCAATGCACAGAGTAGGTTCTCTTGTGACTCATTGAGGTCTTCGTCATTGCCTCGGTTCTGAAAGCGGGAGGAGAGATGATTCGCGAGGTTGTTTAATGACCCAGACCGATCTGTGTGACCGACCGGGAGCAAAGCCAGCGCTTCTCTGTGAAGTGCGATAGCCTCATCCAAGTCTTCGTCGTTGCCTCGGTGCTCAAAGCGGGAGGAGAGTTGAATAGCGAGGTTGTTTAATGACGAGGACCGATCTGTGTGACCAACTGGGAGCAAAGCAAGCGCTTCTCTCTGAAGTGCGATAGCCTGATCCAAGTCTTTGTCGTTGCCTCGGTGCTGAAAGCGGTAGGAGAGTTGAATAGCGAGGTTGTTTAATGACGAGGACCGATCTGTGTGACCGACCGGGTGCAAAGCCAGCGCTTCTCTGTGAAGTGCAATAGCCTCATCCAAGTCTTCATCGTTGCCTCGGTGCTGAGAGCGGGAGGAGAGTTGAAGAGCGAGGTTGTTTAATGATATGGACCGATCCGTGTGACCGACCGGGCGCAAAGTCAGCGCTTCTCTGTGAAGTGAAATAGCCTCATCCAAGTCTTCGTCGTTGCCTTGGTGCTGAAAGCGGGAGGAGAGTTGAAGAGCGAGGTCATTTAATGACATGGACCGATCTGTGTGACTGACCGGGCGCAAAGCCAGCGCTTCTCTGTGAAGTGCGATAGCCTCATCCAAGTCTTTGTCGTTGCCTCGGTGCTTAAAGCGGGAGGAGAGTTGAAGAGCGAGGTTGTTTAATGACATGGACCGATCTATGTGACCGACCGGGCGCAAAGCCAGCGCTTCTCTGTGAAGTGCGATAGCCTGATCCAAGTCTTCGTCGTTGCCTCGGTGCTTAAAGTGGGAGGAGAGTTGAAGAGCAAGATTGTTTAATGACCCAGACCGATATGTGTGACCGACCGGGTGCAAAGCCAGCGCTTCTCTGTGAAGTGCGATAGTCTGATCCAAGTCTTCGTCGTTGCCTCGGTGCTTAAAGCGGGAGGAGAGTTGAACAGCGAGGTTGTTTAATAACCCAGACCGATCTGTGTGACCGACCTGGCACAAAGCCAGCGCTTCTCTCTGAAGTGCGATAGCCTCATCCAAGTCTTCATCGTTGCCTCGGTGCTCAAAGCGGGAGGATAGTTCAACAGCGAGGTTGCTTAATGACATGTACCGATCTGTGTGACCAACCGGGTGCAAAGCCAGCACTTCTCTGTTAAGTGCGATGGCCTGATCCAAGTCTTCGTCGTTGCCTCGACGCTGGAAGCGAGTTGCCAGCATTAGAGACAGATTGCCCAGCAATTGCCCTTGGCTAGCATTCCCGGTGTTGTAGAATCCCAAGGCATCATAATGAAGGGATATCACTTCATCTAAGGCACCAGGTTCAATTCTCTGCAAACACCACTCTACTCGACGAACAAGTTGATTCGGGGATAATGGAACCATCGATGTGGTGGGCCGCTCCTGCCCAATCTCATTTGCATCAATCCTTCCAGCAGAATGCAGAGCCCCCATTTCCATTGCGATCAAAGCCGCTCTGTAAATGTGGCTGTTGGCATGGCAGACTTTGAGAACTTCGCTCAGCAACCCCTTAGCTGCATCAGCATCTGTTTCAAATCCCCGTTTCGCGAACCGCGAGAGCAAAGCGATGGCAAGATGGAGCTGTGTGGCGCTTCGATCCGGATGATCAGTTGCACGCAACTCAAGGGCCTTTTGAAAATGAGAGATAAGAATGTCGAGGTCGAGGTATCTTCCGTCAGCTTGGCAACTAACAAACTTTGCCGTGGCCAGATTGAACAGTGCTGCAGGGTGGTAGGGATGATCCATGGGGCAGAGATTCAAGGCTCGTTCAAAGTGCTTTATGGATTGTTCAATATCCCCGCTGTTCTGTGTCCTGCGGTATCGTGCGAGAAGACTATGTCCGGCGTCCGTCAGCAGTGCTAACGCTTCCATATCGTGGCATGCAACCTGCACATCGTAGCTCTCAGCGTCAGAATGCTAAACTGTATTTATCACTCACGGTAGTAAGGGGACGAAGAACTGCAGCATCATTTTGATCGCAAAGTTGCTGCTCCACTCTCATGAACAGTGAAGTACAGGCCGATATGACTTCCCCCTGCTTTGGCTGAAAGGTAATGGCTGAGATGCTCGTCAGCATTTGTCAGGCGTCGTTTGCAACTGACGATACTGACAATGCAAATTTTCGCTGCGATTCAGTAATTCTCCGACGGAGATCTCGAATGTGCGGAGGCCTTCTCCGTGACAGACCATGGGACCCAATTCAAATGAGGCATACACGCTGACTCGAACTTTAGAAGATGGATCGCACGGCCTACAGTCTTTCTCAATGCCTGCAGGACAGACGAGGTTAAAGGTTGACTTACAGAACGATGCGCTCTTGCCATTCGACGTCAGTCTGGTCTACGTTTACAGATTTATTGCTTGTCTCGTATTCACCGCTGTCAACCTTGACCACGGTATGGAAGCCAGCGGGGATCCGTCGGAGACCAAGAGTGAGATCAGTTGCGCGTATGGCTTGGGGTAAATGATCAATATCAGCCGAGCGGAGATAGACATCACATACCAGTGATGACGACTTGTTGCGGTCCACTGAGTTGCATCTCTCCCGAGTCCTGGGTGGGTTCCCGATAGCTTGGCTGCTCACTAAACAAAAAGCAAGTTGTCAGGCATGTGGATGATCGGTGCTTCATATACTTACTCGTTCTGTTCTTGCCTGGAAATGCAATTAAGTTCATGCACGTGCTATATAACACATCGACATACGATCGTGGACGTTTTGGACTCTTCATCTTGTTGTCGTCATGGCTGTCTGATGACTTGCGTTTACGTTTTCTCTCTTTGAAGGGCTCAGTACTGGTAGCGGAATTCTCTATTAGAGGAGTTGGGGAAGAATTATGCGGAGAAAAGTTTGATTCTGATTCTGATGAGCCTGAAGACTCGGAGGTGACACGTGGAGGACGGACCATCATAAAAATGATGGCTGATGGATGATTCAAACTAACACTTGAGAGTATATAAGCAGTCACGAAACAAATACTACAGCACCTGGAACGTCCTGAAGGATTATAATGGAAGGAACTACAGCATGCACATGGTATCCACGCTGTGCAGTGCCAATGCAGTGAACAGATAGAAGCCACTCGCAGAATCCACCCATAGCCTTCATCTTTACCGTGAGGCCGCATCAGATTTATACAGCAAGAGGCATGTTGACTCGTAGGTGTTATGTTACATGTAAAACAGGCGAAACCAGAACTTCGGCCGAATTCGAAGAAGAAGCACAAAAATTCACATGCCTTGCATACTATATGGAACACCAGGAAACCTGGCCAAGAACCTTCGTGGACTCGGGGATCAGATCATATCCGATTTGTGATCTCGCTCTCTATGTTCGCCGCCCGTACTCACCGGGCTATCTCAAACAGTTTTGCTCACAATCTCAGGCTAGCCCGGCATCCTTATCTACAACTTGAGGCAGCTTTAAAATCTTCTATGAGCTCCTTGCAAGAATGGGATCCCGGATAAGACACGATCATGAAGGACTGCCTCTTTTTCAAATTTAACTCTGCTTCATTTTGGTACACGTCATTACACATGCACGGGTCGGAATACAATGTTTGCTAGGACGTGCACGCACTCAATAAAAGTAATGCAACCTGACCTTATCAATGCAGGAGACATGGTCATCGGGAAACTAACTATATGATAGTTAACCATGACCGATTGGGTTGGTTGAAACGTCATGGCATTAATATTGCCCGTGGTTCAGTGCTCTTAACCTAAGCTTCTACTCGAAGAACCGGGAACATGAACATGGCACAATAGGCGCCATATACGAGGCTCAACTTGAAAGGTCAGTGGCGCCGTACTAGTCAGGATATGCAGCTATAGACGAGCTCACGAATAAAATTTCAGGCTCGATCAAGGTTATCGCCAGGTTCTTTTCTGTGCCCGTAGATCACGCCATAGCAGATGGTGAATATTCGTGTGCAACCTCACTTGCACGGACGCTGTAGAGTCGGATTTGCCTTATCATGTGTCATTCGCGATTCCTTCAAGCATCATGATGTTCACCCGCGGAAAGCAGTGTCGTATGTCCTCCGCGACTGGCAAATGACCAGTCAATTCCTCGAAGAGTTTAGCGAAGGCTTGCCATCATCAAGGACTCGGTTTTACAACATCACCGTTGAAGTGCCCGATCTCCTCCACCTCGTTAAGTCTCTTAGAACACTACCAAATCCATCCCGTGCTGCAGTCTCCTCGTCGCCTCAAGCCTCACATCCCTGGATCTAGGTCGATGGATTGCGAAGACAAGGAGCAGGGACGGTAGGCATAGTCAATCAGGTTCTTTCACAGACCTGGCGTGCCCTCGGGAAGCGGAATAAGGTGGTGCAGCCGTTGATGGCCTCAATCTGTGTTATCTCTACCTCTGCAGGCTCTCTGCGAGACATGCGTCTTTAGAATCCACCTGCGGTTGCCTCAAAGAACGGATGATTCGGTATCAGAAGACCCTTGAGAACAAACCATTCTCTGCTCAGCGAACAAGGTTCCACACTCTTTGATCAGAAACCGAACACGAACATGGCCGAGTGGAAAAGGAAAAAAAAAACTGTTGCCCAGCAGCTATCTGCCTTACAATTTGCACAGGGCGCATAGTTCCTTGGTCAATTAGTCTGATATCCTTGAGCGAGTCTACCATAGGATCACTGCGTGAGTGATGTCAGGACGATTGGTGGTCAGCATGAACTTGTCCATTGCATCAGATAAAAGCGCAAGTGAATTTCGATCCGCTAAAGTATCAACTGCGGAAGAGTCGCGGAGAAGAGACCCACAGGAACATCAATCGGAAGTTGGATCAGAACTTCAAGGAGCTTGCTGTATGTGTTGGACTTAGCCGTACATGATGAAGGTACGAGCACAGGTGAGAAAGCTTAGTAATATGTACAGGAATGAGTAATGTAGGGAACACCGACTTACCCGGGAATAGCCGGAGCGGTGTCGATTTGTAATCATAGCACGGAACAAACACAAGTCCGTTCGAGGACCGGTAACATAGTATTAGCGAATCGTAGTATATAATCTGTACAATTATTTAGATTCAATTCAGTCAAAATATAATATTCAAATCCTACTCTAAAAGTCTACATACTTCTACAGGTTATGAGCCCTGCTTCGACTATGGATAGTACCATGCTCCCCAGCTCCAGCTCCGCACTCTACAATATACCCCAGCTTGCCGAAGATGGCTCGAACTGGATCATGTATAAACAAAGGGCGAAGACGGTGATCGGCGCTCGAGGTTTGATGCGGTACCTAGACGGTCGAATTACGAAGCCAGTCCCATATGGGACAAACACAAGTGGCCAGGTCACGAAGCCAGACGGCTCGATACCAACAGCTACTGAAATTGAAGACTTAGAGAAGAAAATTGACGAACATTATCAAAAAGACTCACTAGTTAGACAGCATATATTCAGCACGATAACAGATCGGCTGTTGCTGCGAGTCCAGCACCTGGATGAAGTCTCCGAAATATGGAAAGAGATAGCCGCTATGCACGAAGGCAAAACGGAACTAGTGCAAATAGACTTGCGCCGAAAGCTGCAAGAAATGAGATGTGAGGAAGGAGGAGATGTCAAAGCGCATTTCGGAGAGATTTACCGAATTCGCGAGTCGCTGGCAGGAATGGGAGTAACGATTGAAGACAAGGATTTTTCGGCCATCATTATGGGGTCTCTTCCAGAGACATACAGGCCCCTACTCTCATCTATCAATGCTGCAGCAAGAATCTCGAAAACACCACTCACCTCCTATGAACTCGTCAACGTCATCTCTGAAGAACACGAGCATAGACAGTTGATGAATCAGAAGCCAACAAAGAAGGGTGGGAACAGCGCATTCTCGGCCAAGGACAGTACGAAAAGAAATCGTACAAACACCGCAAGCAAGGATGTCACGTGTTTCAACTGCGAGAGGAAGGGTCATTACAAAACCGATTGTTGGAGACCTGGAGGAGGGAAAGAAGGTCAGGGACCAAGGCAAAGTGGAAAGGCACCAAGGCAAACGGCTAATGCGGCAGACAAGATCGAAAGAGCAAATGATTATGCTTTTGTCACGTCAGATCTAGCAAACGTGGCAAAAAGGATCAACATACCTGCCGAGAGACAAGGAGCCATTATCGATTCGGGCGCAACATCCCATTTCTGCCCCGACCGCTCGAAGTTCATAACATTCACCTCCATCGAAGCACAAGATGTGCACACTGCAGACGGTTCTACCATCAGCGCCATAGGAAAAGGGGATATAAAGATAGACCTACCTTTGGGAACAAAGAAGACCACTGTGACTCTCAAAGACACCCTATATATGCCAAAGATGGCATTCACGTTAATATCGGCCAACAGGATCGCTACCGCCGGTTTCGCATTACACCTCGAAGATAACATGTGCAGGATATTGACCCCAGCACCAGAGCGAAGACCCATAGCCGAAATTCCTCAAATAGAAGGACTATATCGAATCGCGGCATCAGTGACCCATAGCGCAAACTCAGCAATAACGAAACATACCATCGATGAATTACACCGAGCATTGGGACATGTATCCCACGAAGCGATCACAAATGCTATAAAGAAGGGCATGATCAGAGGTATAACGTTAGATGAAAGTTCAAACCCTACCTTTTGCGAAACGTGCGCAAAGGCCAAAGCCACTCGACAACCATTTCCAAACGAGTCAAAGACCAGATCATCCGCATATGGGGACCTCAGTCCATACAGATCTATGGGGTCCGGCACAAACCGAAACGATAAACGGATGCCTGTATTATATCACCTTTACAGATGATTTTAGTCGGGAAACGAGGGTAACATTCCTGAAGAGAAAGAGCGACGCACTTACCGCATTCAAGGAATACGAGGCTTATGTAAGCCGACAATATAATGCGCGTCTGCGCAAAGTACGGTCGGATCGAGGAGGAGAGTACCTAAGCAAGGAGTTTGATGAATATCTGAAGGAAAAAGGAATAAAGAGACAACTCACCGTGCACGATTCCCCACAGCAGAATGGTGTAGCCGAAAGACTAAATCGAACATTAGTCGAACACGCGCGAGCCATGCTACTCGAAAAGGACCTACCAAAGTTTTTATGGGCCGAAGCCGTCAATTACACAACATGGCTCAAAAATCGCCTACCTTCGAGGGCGAATCCCAGGATACACGTCCTATGAATTGCTACACAAAGCAAAACCAAGTTTAGTAAACGCACGGGAATTCGGCGCACGACTCTATGTGCACTCACCGGATGGAGGAAAGCTCGAAGCTAGAGCAGAAGAAGGTCAATTTGTGGGAATAGACGAGGAAAGTAAAGCTTACCGAGTATACTGGCCGAAGAAGAGAAGAGTATCTGTCGAACGCAATGTTAGCTTTGTCCCGCCGGACGTCATCGTTCGTAACGACATACTGGACGAGGGGGAGTATAACCAGGAAGAACGGATCAACATACCGAATATCGTCCAGCCCGTCGCAACATCCCAAGTCCCACAAACACCAAGCCAACCTCCCAAAACGCCACCCCAGAGTACACAGCAACTTCCAGACCCAATAACGCCCAGAACCACGAGAGTACGACCCCCTGCAGGATACTACAAAGCGTTAAATGAAGGAGAAAGAGCAACCATAGCAATGGAAAACTCACCGGACAACACTCAATCGAATTCTTTTCCATATATGGCCATGGCAGCCGCAGAAAAGGAACCGACGCTTAGAGAAGCGTTAAATGGACCAGACACGGAGGAATGGCAACAAGCCATAGACTATGAGATTGGTCAATTAGAGAAACTCAAGACATGGGAAATTGTGGACCCACCTAAAGGCGCGAATATAATACCTTGCCATTTTGTCCTAGCGACAAAGCGTGGACCAAACGGCGAGAAGGTAAAGCTGCGTGCGAGACTTGTCGCAAATGGTCAGCGCCAAGAGTACGGCGTAGACTATCAAGAAACGTTCGCACCTACCTCAAGTATGACGACAATTCGTACTGTCCTAACGATGGCAGCTAAGCACAACTGGGAAATACATCAAGTCGATGTTAAAAGTGCTTACCTCAATGCCAAGCTCAATGACGACATATATATGCGCGCGCCGCCAGGATACTTGAACAAAGGAGACGAAGGAAAGGTATTAAAGCTATTGCGTAGCTTATATGGCCTAAAGCAGGCCGGTTTTGAATGGTCCGAGGAGCTAGAAGAATTTTTCCTCAGTAACGACTTCACGCGCTCGCAAGTCGATCAAGCTGTATACTATCGACAAGCCGAAGAAGAACATACCGTTATCACCGTTTCCGTCGATGACATGGCCGTCACATCGAAACACCTAAAGCACATCCAAAAGTTCAAAGATCAGCTTCGTGAACGATTCGAGATTTCAGACCTGGGAGAGCTTACCTGGCTCCTAGGATTAAAGGTGGAAAGGGACCGGGAAAGGAGAACTATAACACTATCCCAAGAAGCGTATATAAACGCGATTGTCGAAAGGTTCCGACTCGAAAACGCGAAACCTGCCTCCACACCAATGGAAACTGGAGTAGTTCTAACGAAAGAATCATCAGACCATTCGGCAGGCACCGAATCTCAAATACCCGAACAACACGTACCGTATCAACAGGCTATCGGATCGCTGATGTATGCAGCGACATGTACACGCCCCGATATAGCCTTTGCCGTCTCGATACTCTCGCAATTCATGCGAGAACCAGCTAGTGCGCACTGGGAAGCTGCAAAAAGGGTCATACGTTATCTGAAAGGGACAAAAGATTTTAAACTCACCTTAGGAAAAACAGACGACGGACTTCAAGCTTTTTGTGATGCGGATTGGGCATCACAGCCGCACAGGCATTCTATGTCAGGGAGTATCGTGACATTATATGGCTCACCAATCGCTTGGAGCGCGCGGAAACAGGCGCTGATTGCCTTATCCACTGCGGAAGCAGAATACATAGCGCTGACGTCGGTAGCGCGCGAAATCCTATACCTGAAAGCTCTCATCAGCGAGCTATACGAACCCATAGACGAATGTATCCCCACCTACTGCGATAATCAAGGTGCAATAGCGTTAGCATCAAACAACAAATATCACGGACGTACCAAGCATATAGATCTGCGCTATCACTTCATCCGCGGCCTCGTCCAAAACAATATCCTTCAACTCCAATATTGTCCAACGGCCGAAAACGTTGCGGACGCCTTTACGAAAGCGCTGCCGGCACCAAGGTTCAAAGAGCTGAGGGAGAAGATGAGGATAGGCTGTGCTCGAGGGGGAGTGTTGGACTTAGCCGTACATGATGAAGGTACGAGCACAGGTGAGAAAGCTTAGTAATATGTACAGGAATGAGTAATGTAGGGAACACCGACTTACCCGGGAATAGCCGGAGCGGTGTCGATTTGTAATCATAGCACGGAACAAACACAAGTCCGTTCGAGGACCGGTAACATAGTATTAGCGAATCGTAGTATATAATCTGTACAATTATTTAGATTCAATTCAGTCAAAATATAATATTCAAATCCTACTCTAAAAGTCTACATACTTCTACAGTATGCTGCACGGAACTGAATCTTCTCACTGCTTGGGCTTCTACAGCAGTGGAAATGAAGCGTGCTTCGCGGTCGATCAATGAAGAACAAACTAGGGCGTGACATGGGTCGACCCGGGTTATACCTGCATCCTATGATCTTTAAGTTACAGGGCAAGTCGCAGCCCAGGAATGTGTCCACCTTCCGGGGTAAAAATCGCTCTGGTGCAACAAACAGTTTACGAAAACTTCCTTTGGATACATGCATGAAAATGCTGCCCAACAGTAAACACTTTCACATACACTCAAGAGTATCTTGTGGTGATTAATTGCGATCGAACGAATCCCTTGACCTGTAATAGTCCCGTAATCCAGAAAAACAAATTTCACGCGATGAGAGTAATTTTCAAATATTTTGTGTACATCTTTTCGAAGCAATGTTAGAGATGGAAGCTTCGAGTAATTAATCGCTGGAACTGTATCATTGAAAGCGTTTTTTGTAAAGTCCATTGGAAGTTGAGAGCATTCAAAGTGCATATGGATAGGCAATACAGAATTTGAGGTTGAAGCTCATCATTTGGGTTGGGTTGTGTGATGAAGTTTTGTTTTTAGATGACGGCACAAGTAGAACGTTCCGCAATGATAACCAGATACCAGCCTAGTTTAATTGGGAGTAACACGACACTAAAAACTTATATTCCAACTAAAACATACTGAAATTTCTGAGAACTTCCAGAAATTCTGGTCTAGACGGCTGTTCTAGGCAACCGCCACAGGTTGGTTATAAGTCATGCTGGCCCCTGGGTGTCTGTACACGGCACAAACGTCACTTGCAAACATTCAAACTGTAACGGTGCTTGCGCACCAGTCCCCGAGTCCCTCATTGAATTTTCACCACAATTCGCATTGACTTTGGTCTCAAAAGCGGTACCAATTCGTTCTCATGGGCCGAGAGGACACTGATTCTCATTTATTACTACTAATCGACACTCATGGTTATCGGACGGTGCCTTTGGTGCTCTCAACTCCTTATGCCCAGAATGTCGATTCAGTTACACACCTGGCAAACCATGGAAGATATTCATCAGCGACCAATGAGAACATGCCGGCAAGAGATGTTAGAGACATGGGAAGTCAAGTGAGAGCTGGATTTGGGACCACAGTTAGGTTTCATATCGGTTGCGCGGACTACGTGTCAAAAAGACAAGGATCAGGCGGAGAAAGCCAGGCAAACAGGCACAGCGAGGAGCACCTGACAGCCGTTGACCCACACATGAAGCCTCTACGCAGACTGAGGGTAAACACCAAGGGCAAGTATAGATCAACAAGTGAGTCTGGGAGACTCGTTCAGCGCACAGAAAGACTCTTGGTCCAGTGCGAGCTCCACCTATACAAACATGGACATACAAGCACCCACCTGAGGCAGGCGCATGTAGAACCAGAGCTGCCTCCGCCTGAGGCAGAAGTGGTCAACTGTGGGTAGAGAGGAGGGATATGGAAAAGCCGCAGCAGTAGGTAAGGCATCATGCAGAATGTTTGAAATGTTCAATCATCAGAAGTCAGGTTTGAGTCGGAGTCTCAAAACAGCGCGGGAAAATGTAACACAGCATTGCAGATCGACTGACGCATGGGAATACGATTGTGTTCGACAGAGCCCTCCCCCACTAACGTGGGACTCGGGGACTCCGTGCTTTGTCAAGGCGTGGCCGGAACCACAGTGACCAGTCTCTTGGGGATTCTCTTCCCCATTTCACCAGTTACATCTTCAAAGCGAACGATGATGTCCTCCCTGTGACCTTCTTGGTCTTCGTCGTTGTCGCAAAGCTGTGTTTCAAGTCTTCCGCCAGACGCCGCGATGATCAGATCAACGGGATCAGAAAAGTCGAAAGATGGATCAGAGGCAGTGGTTTTTCTTGCGTGAGGCTGTAGCTGGCGGCCAATATGGTGGCACCCCATATCATGGTGAGCACCACCAACAGAAAGATATACGTGTAGGATTGGCTTTGCCAGCCGTACGTCGTGATATACATAGTGCCGCTGGTCGACCTTGTCATATTCGACGGAACTCCCGAGGCAGAGTATCCGGATCGAAGTTGCTAGATACAGTTTTCAATGATATCCACGGAATTCATCAAGGTCACTTACAGTAGAGGAGAACTCCGTAATATCGCGCCAGTAATTTTCCTGCAAAATAATCAGTCAAGTGATACCAGAGGAAGGGGGAAAATTTACAAGTTCGTTGTACATCACTGATACATTGCTCAAACCATACGCGGTCAAAAAGTTACCAATTGTATTCGTGCTTGTGGCTTGGTCTATCCCCGCTTGATAACTCATTACATCCGCGATAAACTGAGATACAGGCAAATTTGAACTGCTTGTCGAACCGGAAGATGCGCTAATCCGATCGACCGATATGATGCCTCCATTATAAGTGACGTTGACAGTGGTCAGGTAGGGAACGACCTCGCAAACGATCGTTGGTAGAAAGCTGTACTTGTACAAGCCAGACATGAAGATATCTGCAAGGTGTTTACTCGCAAGATACAGAGAAATATAAGAAAAGCCGTACCAAACTTATATGGGTTGAATGCCGTCGAGTTTGGGTTGGGACATACAACAGTGGGGAGCAATCCCTCTGTTGCATCGTCTGGCAGTCCGTTGGCGAGGCCAACGGTGAAGGAGGTTACCGAATTTAAGTCTGGAGCTGATTAGCCGCGGACGAGTTCATGGCAGAGATGAACGCACTTCCTGAACAATTCGCTTCGGTTTCCCACGTGATGAACGTCATATCCGAGCCCGTAGGTCCTGGCACCGCGTATGGGGTGACTGAAAACGTATTCTGGCTGCGGTCGATCGGCTGACATGTAACATTTGCTGTGAGACCCTGCTGCGTAACAGTGTAGTTCTTTGTAATGCCTTGAGTGCCTGCATCGCGTCCGAGGCGTCCCCAGTTAAAACTGGTATTAACTGGTACTTGTCCACCGGTGAACGCTAGGCCGACGGCAGAACCCGACGGGGTTGATGATCCGGAGTACTCCTATATCGCGGGGAGAACTCCACCTTCCAAGTTTCAAAGTGAGGACGTCATTTTTGGGTGCCAGGGTACTCACCAGTCGACTGATTATATGAAACACCATTGAAGCTGAACATACTACTTGTTTCCACACCTCCCTGAACGCCGACTGCAGCAATACCACTAAGGAGAGTCAAGACGCTGATGGCATCAAACGTAGGTGCTTGTACTGAAACAGTTCTTGAGCATCCCGACTGTTGCCGGCCATTGAATATGAAGCAGTTACATACAGGAGTTCGCCTCCGAGATCTTAAGGTCCGTACTCAACTGATTTACAAATGCACCAGATTCCAAGTCTAGTTCCGTTCCGAACGTTTCCACAGGCCATCGAACAAGGGTGGGTAGGAGGAAAGTGCTCCAGCTGTATAAATCAGCGTCAAACATATCTCTGCTAGTTTCATTACTAAGAATAGTGCAGACCTCGTGCTTAGAAATGTGACCATCGCATAGACCACCAACGTGAGGGCCGACAGTTTGAGAAATCTCCATCGCAGTATCCAGGTCGGCCTGCTCAGCGCTATTGCAGTGCGAAGCTTGAACAGTGTAATCGATGACCCTGAAAGGTGGTGCCGAAGCGCTTCCTTGACGGAAAATGTGAAGAACCTGTGCAATAACAGAAGGGTAGTATTTCAGACTGGATGTGCAGAGGAAGACGCACGTCGAAGTAATGATCGCCAAGGCAGTTGAGATCAACGTAACTATCAAGGTCAGCACGGTCGGATACTCTACGATCAGATAAACGATATGATCAGGTAGTACGAGAACCTCCATGTACCAGATTGCTCCGGTGAAGCCCCATGCAAAACCCATGATCACAATCTGGCCGAAGACAGTGAAGAGGAGTAAAGTAGTAGGACTCAAATGCTGCGAGGAAATCTAATCAACTAGGCCCTGGAGAGTAATGGAGGTTGGCTCACGATTTGGACGAAGTTTGCGAATCGGAAGTGCATTTTGAAGGTAATAGCTTTGAAGGTAGAAGCGCGGAATGGAGGTGAGGACGCACGTCCGACCTCTTAAATATTGCTGCAGGGCGCTATTATTTCAGTGCGTATCACGGAAGGTGAAAAGCGAACATTGTGATCTTTGGACTGCAATACGCGTTGATCCGTTCATCATGATAATCTGCTGTTTCTGTCGAAACAGACTTGCATATCAGAACACCAACTTGACATTTAAATTTAGGTCAAGCAAGGTTTCTGCCAATGCAGGGGGCTGTTCTGGGGTTCCTGTGTAGCAGGAGGTTCATGGCCGTCACCCGCATGCCACTGAGTGTTTTCAGCAAGAATAGAATTTTGTTCCTCCTTGCTATTGTCCATGCCAAAGATTCAGGCGGCAGAGCATACTGCAGTGGTGGAGGACAATATACAGCCAATGATATATTTTGTCGGAGTGTCCTATGACAATTTTAGTGCTGCAGCGCAAAGCGAGAAAGGTAAGGTACTCTCGGCCGGTACAACCGGCACTTACTAAAATTCAAACTCCGTGCTTCGCCTCTTCCAGAGGCTACGCTGAGCGCTGAGCGCTGAACGTTAACGATTTTAATTGGTTGACGACACTACGGATACTCGACTCGTCCGTGATTAATACATGGCTGGTCCCGAGCCCCCGATCACAAAACTGTCAGCAACTCTCCATTCCTATGTAAGTTCATGTGATTATCGATAGCAGAATTTTGCTGATGCACTGTATATTGCTATAGGCTATAGCATTCAAATCTGTCCACAGTCGAAAAGCAAAGAGGAAATGAAGTCTCGGAAAGTTCAAGCAGCTTAATTATGAAAGGTAAAGATGGGGGCTCCGAAATCAGTTGGCCGATTTCGTGGTTCTGGACAGACGTATGACCCTGATTTCTTTTCGTCCAGGGATGAACAACGCCCGACAGAGACGTCATCTCGCGTCACGACATTGTAAGAGGACGTCGCGTACTCATTGTTTGGTATCTTCGGTGTCCATCTACCTGGAATCTACGGCGAGAAGAAGCAGAACGCGCTCGGACGACTCTTGCAGGAGATCGTGGCTCGGTCGGGAGACATCACCGTCCTCGACTGGATCGGACAACCTTCCAAGTTCAATAGCTGTCTTCCAACCTATATCACTTCTTACGCCACTCCTCCACATGCCCTTCCATCTTTCTCCGAAGATCAGATTCAAACAACTATCTCTTCCCTCCGAGAAAATCTCATGGTTGTGAATTTAGCTTCGGAACTTTACGACCGGCTTAATAACACGAGCACTGCTCGTTTCTCGAATTGCAGACTACATCTGCCTTGCATGGTATTCCGTGTCACACAAGTCAGTCTGAGCTATTGTACATCCCAGGAAACTCGATATAAAGTCAAGGCACACGGGCTTGATGACCTGCTGATCGCCACCAAAAAGCCGATCGTCCAGTCCTTGCGGACAAGGCCCAATCAACAAACCTTCGTGCTCGTCCGTTCCTGGGATCGGTCTCTCCTCGAGTTACCAGACTTTGCAGATCTTCAAGACGACACAGAGAGCGAAGGGGATGATTGGATGCCGCCCCCGTCTCCATCTGACGACTCACTTAGCCGTTCTGTTGTAAATCGGGAAGTGAATGACCTAGATTCGCGAGAATATTGCGGTTGGTTGTTTGCCTTGGGCAGCCTTTTGGCGCATTTTTACTAGCGCGGTAGCGTGGTGGAGAATACAAAGGGGTCGCGTCGGATCGTGATATCATTGCACAGGCCAAAGATGTGCTTCTGTCCGGGACCTGATGAACGTCAAGACGATTGAAATACTGTTGATGCATTTTCCTTTGAAGATTAGGGATCTGAGCGGTTTTCATTTGTACTTTCGTATCATACTACATGCATGTGTATTGGACTAGTTTCCTTTCAAAGCAGACCTGGAGATCTATCTGCAGCATTTCCACGCCCGATACCACTAGACTAATGTCTCGTGCTCATCACCTACCTGCATGCATATTAATTTTGGTGCTCGGATTCAACTTGAGCTCTAAGTCTCATCACTTCCCGATGTACCACCCTTCGTCTTCTAGAAGTGCGACAAGTTGACTTAGTTATCCGTAAGTCAGTGTCAGGCATATGCATTCGGTGAATTTCGGTCACTAGTGGTACATCTCGAAAGCCTGAAAACATGTACTCGGCCACCCCCACGGCCCCATTAACAGAACAACAGTCAAACGGAAATAAATAAAATTCGATAAGAAAGCAAACTCACGAACGCAAATCATGCCTCGGCGGAAGCTTGGCCCTAGGCCTCAACTACTGAACCGTGATTTAAGATTCTTGGACAAAATTTTCAGCTACGTCGGGGAATACCAACCCAGAAGATATTCCATATCGCGGAGAGAATGATGTTCGTCTGGCATAGACCCAGTCCAGGTCTGAGTTGCACATGATATGGTTTGGTATGGAGAAAACAAGGGTAAAGAGGTGTTCTTACCGCACATAATACCGCCGCTCGTACGATGATGAAGGCAACATCTCATATATTTATTCAAATACCAGATGAGACATCCTCCACTACGTGGTTTGCATTCAAACCAGTAGTGGCGGCCGATAGAGTCGATACCACCTCCCCAGCCTTCTGCACCACCGCGTGCGTACTCGAGGTAGAACTTGGTAATAATCTCGTCCAGAAAAAGGCGATACGTAGCCCGCGGTCGATGATGCGCTGCTTCAGGATGAAAAGGACCACGAGGCCGAAAAACACGAGGCCGGCGATAATAAGGATGCGGTCGATCCAGTCGGTCTTTTCGAGTGCGGTAATGAGTTGTTTGGAAGTGCCCAGGATGAGATCGAGCTTGTCGTGCGTTGTGGATACGGATTGGATAGTTGCGGTGGATGACTCTGTGTGAAGCGGACAGTAGGTATTAGAGAAAAACGATAACATTAAAAACTTACCTAGTAGTTGACAAGATAATACACTGCGCTCGAGCTCTTTCTGCATGAGTCCCATGGTTCGTTGCAGCGCTTCTGTGACATCATGATTGGCTTTCATGAGTACGTCGTCGCTGTAGCTCACAAGTTAGCCATATGGGAGGGTATGAATGCATCAGCGTACGAACGTTATTTTTTCGCTCGAAGAGCTTGTACTTTTCGGCAGAACGGCAGGGGACCTCAATAATTCCTCTCGCTGCGACCGACTTTTGGAGTCAATCGCATGTTTCGACGCTAGGATTGCTGCTCGAGCGTCCTTGCGTAGACTAATATCAAGAGAAACAGACGTGTCAGAGGGTGGAAAAAAATACTCAAACGGTTACATACCTTATTAATGAATCACGAAAAAATTCGACCTTTCTCCTCAGCTCTCTCCTCGCCCGCTCGGTCCTGTGGTCGTCAACCAGGACATCCAGTTCCTACAAGTAGTGAGTATGGATTGAACCTAAAAGCGTGAACTGAAATACTTCAATTTGCCTTGCCAGACCTTCGATGTCCTCCCTCACCTCCGCAGCACATGCTTGTTGCGTGGTCAAAGGACCTGTACACGCCCTCAGACGAGGAATCTGGAAACTGGAAAGGTCGTTGTGGTGCCGTTCGATGGACTCGATTAGAGAGAGTGTTTCACCATCTATCGTTGTCGGTATAGGCGGCATGTTTGAAGGCGGACGCTACATAGCACAAATACAAATACAGCGGGCCTTAGGATTTTACCGCATCGTACCGGCGCTTTCGGGTGTGCGGCAGTGGCTGTGCACCACCACCTCCGTGGCATACGGTCATGGACAGAAGGCAAGCAAGCGGCAGTGTCTCAATGCTGCATTGCCCAGCTTTGTTTGCTATCTATTCTCAACACTCCCATCTGGCATGCGCAGCCGTGAGGATAGTTGAAGCCTCATATGCATGTAGTAGTCTTTCTGTCAAATAAATCTTTCGAATATAGCCTAAGGTCGTCCGACTGGGACTCTTTCGGTCCACTACAATATCCTCTCACGGGCCCCTGGAAATCTTCTTTTGCCAAGTAAAATGATTTTTGCGGATTGGGGGAAAGAGCGAATCTCGATTGAGCATGATCGGGAGTGACGGAAAAGCAAACAAGAACTAGAGAGCGATACATATGTTCTTGACTTGATGCTGGTCATCCTCACCCAATTATCATACCGGGCCTACGCACTTGATGACAACACCAATGTCTGACTCGAGGCGCGATAGTCCAAGAAGCTGTCACGTGTGGCCAGGAGTTCTCGACCAAGGAGACAAAGACAGGCAACCATCCTTAGATCACAACGGTGGTCGCTACGGGGTATATGTGAGCATCGAGGGAAGAAAAACTCGATATGACCGTCGCACCTAAGTATCTATCGGCATCGCGTGTGTAGAAATCGGTGTTCTTTTCCCTTCTCGCCCAAGTCCAGCAGCCCTTTCTGCTTCTTCTATCGTATATGCAGGCTCCTTCAAAATTTTACACCGTCGTTTGTGCACTTTGCCCCTCCAATGTGACTGGAGCGCGGTATCAGTCTCAAAGTATCTTTTTGACGACATGATCAAATTGACCGAGAGAATATGGTAACAGAACAACTTACTTTGCACATTCAACGCAGTAATGCTGGGCAAGGCCAGGTTTCTCGAGGTCAATAGGCTGTGCTTCAAGACCAGCTCGATTCTATGTGAGAGTTTAGACGGTGCGCATGAGCTGAAGAAATTTTTAGTACCTTCGGGTCTAGATCAATGAGCTGGATTTGATCGAGATCTTTTGTGCGAGCCTATTGAGAGTCAATAAAGAAACAGAGACCAGAAAGCATGTGCATACCCTTGTACGGGATGCGCGATGCACGTCGCGTTGTGCATGATGTGTACGAGATCTCCGTACCCGACCCATGATGTATGCAAACAAAACCTGTCTGACTAAAGATTCACCGAGTCTCAGTTGAATTCCCTTTTTAGGGTTGTCCATTTAGCACGCGCTCGACCAGAACTTCACTTGACCTCACTCGCAAACAGCAATGGCACTCCCAACAAATGGGCGAGTGATAATCGACACAACTGCAGGAGAAATTGAAATTGAACTATGGTCAAAGGTGTGCACTGCATTCGTGGAGTATCTGACTTGGTTGCTGAGCGCACACCCAGGAAACACCAAGAACATGCCGGAACTTCATCGCACTCGCGCTAGAAGGTTAGGAGTTGAATTTGTTCTGAAAACGAGGCGCCCAGCTCATTTGGAGGTTAGGTTATTATGACGGCGTCATCTTTCACAGGTTAGTACCTTGCTCAAAGTCAGCGTACTCGGAAAGGGTCCCTAAATTTCCTTGCAGAATCGTACCAGGTTTTCTAGTCCAAACCGGTGACAAAACAGGGACAGGTGGAGGAGGGGAGTCATTCTATGGAGGTGGGTCTTTATCATGGTTTACCTCGATGCATGGTCACAATACTTGGCCAAAGAACCATTTGAGGATGAAATCCACCCGCGATTGCGGTATGCCCACCGTGGGCTTGTCGCTATGGCCAACAATGGAACGAAGAATTCTAATGATTCCCAGTTCTTTATTACCCTTGGTGAGAAATATCTCAATGAGACTTGGGAGTTGAAGATCTTGACGTCACTCCTGTGGCACAGACAGAGCGGATGAATTGCACGGCAAACACACATTGTTCGGGAGGGTAATTGGGGACACCGTGTACAGTACGTTCGGAGGTTAGACATGGTTTCACATTCCTCACTTATTTTGGCTTAGACGTCATGAAAATTGGAGAGATGGGTAGGTGATTCTTATTCCGGGGGTTCGGTCAATTAATATTAATTCACCCTCTTCCAGAGATTGGTGAAAATGAACGACCCGTGTAGTAGGTTTGACACAAACTTGTGGCTACCTTTTCCTCTCAAAGCTCACTAGCCTTCATCACCCAGTCCGCCCAAAATCAAGTCGATAACAATAGTCGACAATCCATTCCCAGACATTATACCCCGAATCACTGCTGCCGAGAAGCGTGCTCAGCAGCGAGCTCGAGAAGCTGGCCAGCGTGAACGAGAAGAGGCTGAACGTCGGAGAGGTGCTAAAAAGTGAGTTAGGAATTGTAATTTACGCTTGTATTGCTCACTCTGTGAAGGGATGTAAAGCTGTTGAGCTTTGGCGGAGATCAGGATGACGAAACGGAACCCGTAGCGTTCAAGAAGAAAAATATTGCACGACCCGACTGTGAGTTTACTCATCAACGAGCATGCCAAAAATACAGCTGAGCAGAAGGTTGCAGTGGTCGACAATCCTGATGCCGCAGGCATTCCGATGCCAGAATCTCTACTCGGCCCTCCGAAGAAATCCAACGAACCACCTCGAGAGCGTGCATCTGAGAAGGAATCACCCAAGGTACATACTTTACAGCTACTGCCGAATAAGGAATAACACGGCCTAGCATCAGCACGAGAAACCTTCAAAAAGTAGTAAATCCGAGGGTGCAGATAAGGACATCAAGAAAATTCGTGAAACACACGCAAAAGAGAAGGCTTCCGGAAGGTTTTTATATCTTATAGCCTTTTGTGCTCCAAGTTGACACATGACTCTAATAGTGACGCCCGACGCACTGAAATTGAGCAGATGGAGAGCGAGATCCGCCGACTGACGCGCAAACGAGAAGGTGGTGAGGATAGCGACGAGGAAGCTGCGCGGAAGAAGGCAAAACCAACAAAGTCCTATCTCGAGGAAGAACTTGCCAAGTACTCCAAGGGGCGGGGATTGCAGAAGAAAGGGAAGGGCAAGAAGGATGAGGGTGATGTCCTAGCTGCTTTGAACAGCTTCAGGGGATTGTTACAGTCAAACGCGAACTTGGAGATGGAGGACGGTCCGGAAGAGGGCGATCGTGTGGGCGACAGTGGAGGCGGAACCGTCCCTGGTGGAGAGGATCCGGGTATTGAGGTGGATGACGACCGCGGATTCATTGGCCATGCTCTGCACTTCCCGAAAGACGATGGAGAAGAAACGAGGAAGGCTGAGAAAGATTATGAGGTTATTGATCCTCGTCAGCGTGGTGCAAGGGCACGGGAAGAGGAGCGGGAGAGGAAACGAACTGCGATGAAGGGAAAGAACGGGCGCGGCCGTCGGTGATACACCGTCCTTTGGCGCCGCCCGCCTTTGTGCTCAAAAGCACTGGCGCTACTGGACCATCCTTGTGTACCTAGGGATATCATCTCATCACTGATCTAAACGCGTACACAACGCGTTTGACTGTCTCAGCGAGGTTATAAAACAACGCTCAAGCTATTTGTAATGATCAGACGTACTGTATAGTACTTGCTAATTAGGCAGAAAGAATACTAATCAAGGATGCGAACACTCTGAGAACTCATATTACAACAGCACTCATGTCAAGCTCAAAACGCGGTGCATTCATTGTCATCGAAGGACTAGACAGATCTGGAAAAAGTACTCAAGTCTCCCTCCTCCACGACCGTCTACAGGACGCGCAAAATGCAGGGCCTACAAAGGTAGTCATACTACACTTCCCCAGTACATTTCCAATCCAATCCCTCACTCAAACTGAATACAAATGCATTCCCAGTCCGCACGACAGCCATCGGGAAGATGATCGACGCGTACCTCCATTCCGAGTCCGAACTAGACGACCACACCATTCACCTCCTCTTCTCTGCTAACCGCTGGGAACTTGCGTGAGCACAATCACTGCTTTTACCATCCCCTTCGCGTTCAATGACACGGTCTATATTTCTCTGCGCACAGATCTACGATTACAGCTCATCTTGAACAGGGGACGACCGTCCTCGCTGATCGATACGCGTTCTCTGGTATCGCGTTTTCAGCTCGTAAGGGACTACCGTACGAATGGTGTCGTGCTCCCGACGTTGGACTGCCCGCGCCAGACCTTACACTATTCCTTAATATCAGCCCAGAAGTCGCAGCTACCAGGGCTGGATATGGGCTAGAGAGGTATGAGAAAGAAGAAGTGCAGAAAGGCGTGAAGCAAGTCTTCGATAAAATTGGGCGGGAGATGCAGGAAGACGGCGGGAGTGAGGGCAAGTGGGTGGAGATTGATGCAGGGAAGACAAAGGAAGAAGTTGCGGAAGATCTCTGGAAAGCGGTCGAACCGTTTGCCAATGGCGTTCAAGGATCTATCGGTAGGCTATGGGAAAATCTCTAATCCCCGATACCCCAAGGTTGGTCGCACTGCAGCTTTGTAAAATAATCGAGAGCAAATATTACATGCCAACATCTGAGGAAAGAGACAATAAGCTCCGTGCTGTAAAAAGTGGTGTTGTTTATTTCAATGAAGAAATTTGAAACACAAAACCGTGATAACTAAGTATGTATCCTCCATACATACATGATACAATTGGTCCATATCTTTATTGTTATCCAATCATGAAAAAAATGAGAAGAGAAAAAAATATGGCACAGGGTAGTCCCAGTCCTTGATATGTCAAGGGCTCGATGACAGCCGTGACACAATGACGGCGAAAGCGATCAGCACACCCCATCTCCATTTCTCCCACAAGACCTGGCGCAGCTGCCCTGTCCACCCTTGCGGTGTCGTAGTTGGCTTGTTTGTAGATGCCAAGCTACTAGTATTTACGACATCGCTTGTGTGCGACGTCGTCGTGGCAGCGGGAGCCTGTGCTGCCGGTCGTCTATCACACACCTGCAGCTGGTGCGTCGCTGTGGTAGATCTCGAGATAGAAGGAGAAAACGGACTAGGGCTTATAGGTGAAGTGGGTGTGGCTGCCGTATCTGGTTTCCCTCTCTCCTGCTCGCCCATATTTGGTAGATCTCGGAGAGTATCCGTACAGTACTGCGGAAAGCGTGGCATTAATCAGTTAACCAGGCACAAGCTGACACCGGTAAAAACAAGTAACACTCAGGAGCTTGGGTATGACACCCTGATCCGAATGAAACGGAACTCCTACCCCTCTCGGGCTTCTCGTATCGTGGAGAATAAATTTAACATATGACACTCACGTCTGGGAAGGCTTCTCTAAATCTTGGTTGTGTCAAATTATGAGAGTGACTGCGAGCAGCATAGGCTCGCTTGTGACCGTCTGAGGATGTCACCGAGCCAGTAGTCATCTCGTCGGAGAGCATGAAGGACAGTAATCCTGTGAGTCTAAATGTATCTTGATGAGTAAGCGCTCAGGCGGGTATGGCGGGGAAGTCGGTGAACAGAAAAGACAACGATCGTAAGCATCAAATACCCCTCTATCAATCAATTATGTCGGGGTCCGGACAAGAAAAAGAAACCGGGTCGTTAAAATCAAGCGGGGCACTCACATCGTAGCGACACTCCAGGCGGGATTCCACTAATAATGACTCAGTGATGATGACCTTCAGGATGGTTGAACAGGACGCACGGTACCAGGATGGAAATCAGACATTGAGAAACAAATCTTCTTGTCAGGTTGGAATCGACCGGAAGGAGTAAACATCTGTTGCATCATATTGGTCATAAGTCGTCGGAGATAACGATGATGAGAGTCAAGAGGAGCACACCTTGATGCCTGGTGGCTTGAAGGGATATTCTGCGGGGAAAATGAGTACACCGTGATACTCGCCGCCAGCAAAAGGCGAATCAGGAGGTCCGCGCTGTATAACAGAAGTTGTTGAACAATAGTTATGGCGCTGTCTGCTCAAAGAACGCACGATAAGGTAATTCCCTGGATGTAATGCTTCAAAAGCATGTTTCTGCATGGAAGATATTGAAACTTACAAGTCAAGATGTTCTTTTCATCCGGTGTTGCCCAAACAAACGGCGGCGGCTCTTTCTGCATGCTCACATACTCCTTAGCGAGCTGGATTTTGACCTATCAGCGACATCTTCAGAGTTAAATGTGTGTTCTTACACGTTTGTGTGCTGCTTTGCTTGCCATGATTGCGGGGTCGATGGGGGCTGTGGAGAGTGGAGGAGTCGTGGATGAGAGTGCGGGCGACTTGATGCTGGCCAAACCACCTGGTACACGCAACAAACAAGTGCAAATAGCTCAAACAATTTCTCCCTTGCCATGGCGGCCAAGGTTCCACGCTTCCTTTAGGAGACTGACTGGTTTTTGTAATTCACATATACTGTATACCATCGTGCCAGCTGGCATGCTTGGACATTAACAGGTCTATGGCATTTATGCCCTACTTCTTCGCGGGTATGGGAAATAATGCGAGCTCAGTGCGTGGCCATCATGATTATGTTAACGTTCTTAGACCCGTATTTGTGCCTGGTGACCCCGTGGCGTTTCCTATGTGCATGACACTCGCAGGAGCCATGGAAATGCCACTGTCATCATTAATTTGTCACTAGTTCGTCATGGGTTTGACGGTGCAGAGGTTTGTATAGTACGTTGGTGCTCAGATGCTACGCTTGTGAAGCGACTTCAAGTTCTGACAGATCTCTGTCAAGAGTACTATCTCAGCCAGTAAAATATTTTCACTGTCGAACCAGTCTCCAACAAGCTCGGAGTCCACTTCTATATGCGGCCTATGCTTTGCGCAGCCTGACACGCCGTCGTGCTCGGGCGTCCCCTGGCCAACTCGTCCAACTCGTGAAACACGAGCCTGTCATACTTGTCGAATATCACTTGGCCGCTGCATCGTTATGCACGTTGAGCTCGCACGAGGCAGTTTCGCTATTAGGCTCATTGCAACTTCACAACATGACATTTCTACAGAATGCGATCCTTACATCTCCTTCATCTCCATTGCTACATAAAGTAATTCCGAACAAACACCGCTCAATTGATGCATTGCGGAGGTGCTTAGCACTTGCATTCTCCCGCCTTGCAGGAGCACCTGGATATTCTAAATTAGACACCGTGCACAAGAACAAAAGACAGCGTCACTCACGAGTTACCACACGAACAGGTAGTCGACGACGAGTCGTGGTAAGAAACAGGGACTTCAGTGACCTGTGAAGGAGTATTAGACAAGGAAATGCTTGCAAGAATTCGTGCGTACAGTGAACATATTGGATGGATTGATGCTGATGCTGGGTTGTTGTCAAAAGTCGTTTGGGCTTGTGCTGAATTACGACCAACGCAAGGGGGATCCTTTATACCTGCAGTGTGTATGGCCTTGTTGGCAAATTCTTGATCAAGTTGAATGTTCCATTCAGTTCGCTGTCCTTCCGGAGTAGATGATCAGTGATCGCCTACCGTCATCCATCTAATCACGCAACTAACCGCACTGATCTGATGACAATCCATCAAATGCCTCAAAAGCCACTCTTCAAAAATACTCATGATGATGCAACGAACTGATGACATGGAATGCAAGGTCCGGGTACCAAAGAAGGGCCAGGAAGAATCCGGGCCATTCTGACAGTTCTGATTCTTCCGCACCCTTGCTGTCATGGATCCTGGTTCCAGACCGTCAATTTCAAAACACCATAATCGCACATTGTGCCGATCAATCAAATACCTCGGGAGCCGCTCCTATGTTCTTCCGTTATGTTCCCCCGAGAGTAGAGCGGCTCAGTGCATGCTGCATTTTTCCACGTTAGGAACTCGAGGCTCCGACCAGTCTTTATGATCCTTATCGTGAGTTTATGATTTACAAGGATTGCCCTATTCACGCGACTGGGCCTGGGAGTTGTCCAGTTGTCGCAGCTACCGCAATTGGTTGATGAACAGAACGGACCAACGGCAAGGGTGGACAACAACAGACCCTTTTTCTGAGATAGTACTAACCCATCCAACAAAGATCTCTATTTATATAAGCAGAATCTCCATCGAGCGCGTATCACAGAACGTTAAATCGGAGCAGGGAATGTGACCATATGATAATGCGATGTGATTGATATCGATCCTCGTGGGTTAGGGTACCGCGTTCCGAGTTTCCTCGTTAAGGCTGCAAGGATACCTGCAGGGCAAAGTTCATCTAACTTTGAATCAACTTTCGCTGCGGGCCCCATGATACATGATGCCTCGTGCAGACCACACAGATCAAAATGACTGTATAATTGCTTATTCGAGAGTCGAGATAGTGAAAGACGCACATAATGACAAATTCACTCACTCTCAGGGTCGTGTCAAGTGCTACTATTCACTCAAAGCACCGGCGGTACGAGGAGTCGTGTGGTACTTACTATATGCGACACCTTCCTAGGAAGCACTAGACCCAAGAGGGAGAGCGTCTGTTTCAAAGCGTTTAGATTAGAACAACAGACTCGTGATTTCGACCCGGGTACTACCCCGCGCCCTGACATCTCGGCCGACGGTGGGAGTATGAAATACATTAGACTCATCAATTGAATAAGGACTACGATCACCGTGTCATTATGAGGCGTGACAGATCCAGTAACTCGATTACTATACAACGTTAAGGGGTCCCCGGAGGAGCCACAGTGACCAGTCTCTTCTTGCTCATTCTCCTCCCCATCTTGTCAGTTACATCTTCAAAGCGGATAATGACGTCCTCGTTATGATCTTCTTCCTCATCATCCTCGTCATGAAGCTGTGGTCCAAGTCTTCCGCCAGATGCCGCGATGATGAGATCAACGGGATCAGAAAAGTCGAAAGATGGATCGGAGGCAGTGATCTTTTCTTGGACGAGGCTGTACCCAGCAGCCAATACGGTGGCGAACCAGATCAGGGTGATTACCACGAGCAGCAAGATGAACGTTTGGGACCGGCTTCGCCAGCCGTACGTCTGGATATACATCGTGCCGCCCGTCGACCTTGCCATATTCGGCGAAACTCCAGAAGCAGAGTATCCGGATCGAAGTTGCTAGACACAGTTTTCAATAATATCCATGGAATGCGTTCAAGGTCACTTACAGTGGAGGAGAACTCCGCAATACCGCGCCAGTAATCTTCCTGCAAAGTAATCAGTCATACTGATGCCAGAGGAAGGGGAAACACTCGCCAGTTCGCTGTACATCACTGATACATTGCTCGTACCGTACGCGGTCAAAAAGTCACCAACTGTATTCTTAACTACGGCTTGGTTTGACGACGCTTGATAATTCATCACAGTCGCGATATACTGAGATAAAGGAAAATTCGAACTGCTTGTCGAACCAGAATATTCGCTAATCCGATCGACAGATATGATGCCTCCATTATAAGTGACGTTGACTGTAGTCAGGTAGGGAACGACCTCGCAAACGATCGTTGGTAGAAAGCTGTACTTGTACAAGCCGGACATGAAGATATCTGCAAGCAGTTTACTCGCAAGACACCAAGGAATATAAGAAAAGCCGTACCAAACTTATATGGGTTGAATGCCGTCGAGTTTGGGTTGGGACATACAACAGTGGGGAGAAGTCCCTGCGTTGCATTGTCTGGCAAACCGTTGGCGAGGCCAACGGTGAAGGAGGTTATTGAATTTAAGTCTGGACCTGATTAGCCGCGGACGAGTTCATGGCAGAGATGAACGCACTTCCTGAACAATTCGCTTCGGTTTCCCACGTGATGAACGTCATATCCGAGCCCGTAGGTCCTGGCACCGCGTATGGGGTGACTGAAAACGTATTCTGGCTGCGGTCGATCGGCTGACATGAAACATTTGCTGTGAGACCCTGCTGTGTAATACTATAGTTCTTCGAAATGCCTTGAGTGCCTGCATCGCGTCCGAGGTGTCCCCAGTCAAAACTGGTATTGACTGGTACTTGTCCTCCAGTGAACGCCAAGCCTACGTTAGAACCCGGCGGGGCTGATGATCCAGAGTACTCCTGTATCGCGGGAAGAATTCCACCTTTCAAGTTTTCAGTGAGGACGCCATCTTTGAGTGCCGAGGTACTCACCAGTCGACTGATTGTATGAAACTCCGTTGAAGCTGAACATGCTACTCGTCTCCACACCTCCCTGGGTGTCAACCGCAGCAGTACCACTTAGGAGAGTCAAGACATTCAAGACTTCAAAAGCAGGTGCTTGAACTGGAACGGTTTCTCTTCAGCACCCCAACTGTTGCTAATCATTGAGATTGAAGCAGTTACATACCGGCGTTCGGATTGAGGGCAGTAAGGTCTGTACTTAACTGGTTTACAAAGGCAGCAGATCCTAAGTCTAGTTCCGTTCCGAAGGTTCCCACAGGCCATTCGACAAGGGTGGGTAGGAGCAAAGTGCTCCAACTGTATAAACCAGCGTCAGATATATCTCTGCTGGGTTCATTAAGAATAGCGCAGACCTCGTATTCAGAAATGTGACCATCGCATAAACTACCAATGTGAGGAGCGATAGCTTGAGAAATCTCCGTCGCAATACCCAAGTCGGCCTGCTTAGCGCTATGGCAGTGCGAAGCTTGAACAGTGTAATCGATGGCCCTGAGAGATGGTGCCGAAGGGCTTCTTTGAGAGCAAATGTGAAGAACCTGTACGATAACAGAAGGGTAGTATTTCGGACCGGACGTGTAAAGGAAGACGCACATTGAAGTGGTGATCGACAAGGCAGTTGCGATCAACGTTACTATCAAGGTGAGCACGGTCGGATGCTCTACAATCAGACGAACGACATTATCAGGTAGTGCGAGAACCCCTGTGTACAAGATTGCTCCGGCGAAGCCCCATGCAAAACCCAAGATCACAGTCTGGCCGAAGATAGTGAAGAGGAGCAGAGAAGTCGCACTCAGGCGCTACAAGAAGACCCAATCAACGAGGCCTTGGAGAGTAATAAAGGTTGGCTCACAATTTGGACAAAGTCTGCGAAGTGCATCCTGGAGGTAGGAGCGGGGAACGGAGATGAGAACCTCTGTCCGACATCTTAAATATTGCTGCAGGGCGCTATTAACTAGGTGTGTATCACGGCGGAAGGCGAGAAGCGAGCAAGCGAATTAGGTCTAAGTTCCCCCTGCTGTCACCACCTGTGTGAGGGGCGCTATTAAGAAGCAACGAACCATCGGAGTTCCTTGCAGAATGGAAGAGGCTGCTTACCACCTGATTGGCGCGCTAATACATGCCCCGCGGGTGTGCTGAACCCTGCAATCCATCATGAGATACCACAAACTTATTACCTTTGAGACAATTGTGGTACATATGCTGAAAAGCCAAGAGGACACGACGTCTCGGAAAGTTCAAGCAGCTTAATCGGATACGAAAGAGAATAAACGTAAAGATGGGACTCCGTCAACAAGTTACTGCATAGCCTAGATTGGCGTAGCGCCAGGCGTCCTGAGTACTTACCTCAGTATGCTAGAGTATGCCTCGCGCGAATCATGATGCAGCTGTGTCGTTATATTCTCGCCCTTCGTCTGCTGAGGAGTCTGAGCAGCTGCACTGCAGAAAGCGTGGCTATTTGCATGGGCAGTTGTAAAGTCATCTGTCCCACTAGTGCCCGATATAATATTGGAACGTACTTACTAGGAATCCCCTGGGGAGTAAACATTCAAATCGAGTGTTGTGATGAGTGTGATTTAAACTTCAGCCAGGCCAGTTAACGGCAGTTGATCACGATCGACGAATATTAATAGCCAGTACCCCAGCCACCCCATTCTGACATTTATTATCGCTTTTATTTACTTGACAAACAACACTAGGGTTTCGCCTGCGACTGCGGAATCATACCTTTTACATGAGTCTCTCCAGGTTTAAGCATTGGCAGATTTATCTGGGGGGCCATTGGATTCACATGCTTGGCCCTGTTCCTGATAGCATGTATCAATTTCTCGTGAGTCTGAAACCATCAGGCGGAGTTTGTCATGTATTCGTAAATGTACTAAGCCCTCTAGCTTGATTGACGCTAGCGCTCAACGTCTCAACGGCAATATTAATTGTTCAACGTTCAACGTTGCAACTACCGATTTGGGTGCATTTCAAAACCTGTCAGGTATGTCCGCAGAATGCCCACTTGAACTTTGCAGTAGACTTTATGTGCATTTCTGCGAAGTCTAATTCTTGATAGCTACCGACCCCGAAGTTCGAGATTCAAAACCCCTCCCATCTGAATTCCTCCCTCATTCGGCCTGCTGCATAGTGGGTTTGTCTAGAGAAGCGTCTCAACACATCTCATGTTCAACACATCGCATTCAACTTGTATAATGCATATGAGCTGAGGTTGCGAGTACTTGAGGCTTGGCGGTATGATTATGTACGTTACCATCATTACTGGTTCCCATAAAATCGAATTCAGCCTTCCTGAAGCAGACCACCGCTGTCGACTTCGAGTTTTGTTTCCAACTCCGAAGAAGTCTCTTATGATTCTTGCGGAGTAGATGCTCAGCTTTCGGGCTCTGATGAGCGCTCTCGTTCCAACGGCTACTAGTGAGTAATATTCATGTGGAGACGATCTTTGGTAACCAAGGCGGGAAGCGTACTAGCACTCTAGCTTAATATGTACGATCACGCAAGACCTCCATGTGGGCCCAGGGACCGTCAACACTGCATCGGAAATTTGCGCTTTACTGTTACTCCTGCGCCCGCGTTCAGCACTAAGCATTCCCTGGATCACATCTGTTCAATCTATCCGGGTTCTTTGCTACTCCTTTGAGATTTTTGCAGACAAAAAATATGGTGGTGATTCTGGGAAAGGCTCGCAATGATTGGTAGGTTCCGAACAAAGAGGCATGCCCTGTCTTGAACCTAGACTTAGGCTTTCAAGGAACCGAACGAATACAGGCCTGACCCACCTGACGCCATCACTCATTTACCAGCCTCAGAAGATTACTGTCTTCTGCAACCTCAGTTTTAAGCCCAGCACCCCGTTGATTTTACGTGATAATGTGTCATATCTCACAGCGAAGTGTCACAGTTCCATTCCGCTGTGCACTATCATGATTCGGTGAAATCGTATACCGGGTGTTCACGTTCTGCCTATGAGCTTCCTGACTCGGGGTCTGTCCATACTGATATTGTTACAGTGTGGAATTACATTAATGAGCCCTTTTCATATCAGCAGAATGACATGCATTTTCCCGCTAGGGTTTTGTGCTCGAAAAAACCGCATTCCTGTTTTAAATGGTATTTTCTTCGCACGGTCATGTGAGACTAGCATTGTATCGATTTTCTTTAGTTGTCGATCTTCTTCTATCTATCATGAAGTCCTTGGATATTTTGCTGATGCTTTCTGCTGTTTTCGCATCAATGGTGCGATTCCACTGTGTCCTTCTGCACACTTATAATGTGCCGCGTTCTGTTTCTGATCATAATGGAGTGACTGTGGAGTGACTGGAGTCGACTTCTGGTCCGGTGCTACTGTCAACGGTTGGTATGATTCTCGACAAACATATTGCCCCGTCTATCTGGATGGGTGCGATGTCGAACTTGGCTGTTATTGGCTCGCATTTGTAAATGCGAAGTTCGATGACTTTCGATTTCTTCGGCCTTCGGAGATGGATCTTGCGCAGTTTTCTGCTTGTCATATTTGGAATTTTCAGCCTGGAGGTACGTGTATTCGTCCGAATCATTTTTATATGGCTCCAGGCTAAATAATGATTCACAGAGAATATGTCTTCTTCGCCTGTTATCCAAGTGGGATTATGTCTAGCTACCCAAACGGGTTCTAAAGCTCAGGAAAGTCGGACACTCGCTGAACGATGAGGGACAACGGGTCTTAAAATCCTGCATCGTGGAAATCAGTCACTTGTCAGATGAAGCACTCCCGAACTTGTCTCCGCACCAAATCCCAATAATTGAGGACTCCGTAGAGCTCAAATTTACCTATCCCAACTCCAAGAAAATGTGTCGTGTCACTCGAACGCAAGTGCCAGTTCTTTCAGGGTTTGTGATCACTGCACATAAGTCGGAAGGACAGACACTTGAGAAAATAATGATTGATCATATGTAATGGTGTCCCGTAATCTGTACGTTGTAATTGATTCACATTATGACTAGACAAAGAGACCGTAGTGGGCTCTGCCGCGAGCGGCCTTTCGCGTTATTTACAAACGTTGTATATCGTCCACAATCCTCAATGCACAAAAGAATTCCGAACAAAATGTATATAATGTATAGTATGCGAATCCAAGCCAAATGCGTTCAATGCCAAAAGATTACAGATGCGTATGTCCTTGATCAACCATCCCCTTTGCCAGTTCGTCACGCCTTCCCTTTCCTCTCAACACATCCATCAATGCCCTCGCCGCAGAGCTCTCCCTACTACCCTTCCCAACCTTATCCCCGCGAGAAGGCGAACGTGCACTTTGATCATCCCGAGAAGACAACAAAGAAGAACGAGTGCTCTCAGTCCCACTCTCCCTTTCTCCGTTCCTTACCCACGCCCGCGCACCAAGCACGAGCGAAACTCGCTTCCCCCACCCACCATGCAAATTCCCAACAGGAGCGGAACGTGCTAGGACAGGCACCGTCTGCACCGCTACTGCAGGCAACGAGAACCGTTTCTTCTTCCTGGTAGTATCTTCTTTCTTTTTGTGAACATATCCGGGTGTGGGCTCGTGTTCGCGAGGTTGTTTTGGTTGTCCTTCGTCGTGAACCTCCTCTTCTTGATGCATGTCGTGCATCTCCCCTCCCCTACCATGCACATTCACTCCCTCGTAGACGGCATGTACCTCCTCATGGTACACCCGGTCATCAATCCTCGACGCTCGCTCCTCAGCCACAGCACCCAAAGAAGTTGCCACAGAACTAGCCACGCTCCCACCCCTCGCGTGAACCTCGAAATCATCCAATATATCATGGTAGCTCCGTGGGCGCGGGCGCGTGGAGGGGCGAATGCGGATGGGGCGGGATATAGGAGCGCGGAGGGTTGGTGCGGTTTCTTGGTATCGAGATTCTTGATCTAAAGTGGGGGCAGCGTAACAGTCCCGTGTCGATGGATCACGCACGCGCATAGTGGGCACGTCTGTATCTTCGTCTTCATATATGTCGTCTTGAGCCGTAAATCGGGAGGAAGAAGGAGAGAGCGTAGTAGGAGAAAGCGAGGGAGAATCGCCATCACCTAATAAAATCCGCGGGAGATGACGGGTAGGACTAGGTGTGAACCCACGCTTGCTTGGGTTTGTGCTGAGCTCGCGTTTGGATGGTCTTGGGCTCGCGTTTTTGCCAGATGCAAATCCAGCATGACTGGCACTCATACCAACATTTCCCTCCATCTCTCGCTTACTCGCACTGGAACTCAATCTCCTCCTCGACGGACTCGCACCCGACACAATTCGACCCCTACTAGGGCTCAACGTCATCGCCATCAACGCGTGAGCACCACTACTCCCTTCAGTGGGGATAGGCGTAGAGAGCCAGGCTGGGATACCGTGGAGGGTTGGGGAGTGGTGTGTAGACGGATTTGCTGATAAAGTAGATGGAGTACTAGAACCACCGGTGATGGACTGGACGAGAGGAAAGGCAGCTTCGTAGCACTCGTTGCATGCGCGTGCAGGTTTCGCTTTGGTGTTTTTGCCAGAAGGGGATTGGGAAGATGGGTCGGTGATGTAGAATGTCTGAGTTTAGGAGTGTTAGTTTGCGGCGTGAAAAGCAAAGGATCAACTGTAGCGAAAAAGCAAACGAACGACAGAGAACGGCGAAACACAGCTGAATAAAATACAAGACTTACCCGTCCAGAACACTCAGCACACACAACCCTTCCACAAAGCCTACAATGATGTCGTCTTCTCCACATCCCTTCACCACTCCCAGGTCTTCCTTCACCCCCACCACTCCCACCTTCCTGTGCATTTCTCTCGCTGCTCTCGCCCACACCTTCTTCGTCCGTGCCCTTATCCTCTTGACCTTGACTCGCACTCCTCCCCCACTCAAACGAGGTAAACGACGGTAAAGAGAAAGACACAGACATCGATAGAGGTACCGTGAACCTCACAAGCCCAAACGGGCGTGCACACCGCATACATGCGTCTGTCTTTGCGTCCGGGACCCAGACCGGGGGTAGGAAGGGCAAGGGTGCGCGTTGGGGTCGGGCGGAAGGAGGGAGCCCTTCTACGTGGTTTGGAGTTGTTAGTTTTGGTGCTTGCTGAGATGCTGAATCGGGGAGCTTTTGCTGTCGAGTGTCTAAAGTAGGCACTTCAAATTCTTGGATCTGAGACACACGTTCATCCCTCTCCTCAGGTTCATATGCCTCCGCCCACAACACCCCACGCATCCTAACACCCCGGAGCGCAATTGACGGATCACGCGCCAGAAGCGCAGATCGAGCCTGACGCAAAAGATGGAGAAAGGTATGTAGAGAAGTATCGTTCGATGCCGAGGTTAAGGGAGTTGTACGACGAGTGGCCAATGCAGATTCCGAAGCAGAGGAAGAAAGACGCCTTGGCGATGGGGGTTGCGACGGGACCGCATATACCGCGAACGAGCCTCCAGGGCTCAACACCTCCAGTCGGGGCGGATGATGCGACGGATCGAGCACCGCCTCGATATCGACGAGGGAGAGATGATTTCTGTACGTGTATGTATGTCGCTCGTCGCTAGCGGTAGCATGTGCCGCGAGAGTGAACCAGTGGGAATCGCGCAGAGTGGACGGATCGAAGTCTAGCCATACCAATATGTCGTCGAATAGCAGAAATTCACATATGCGATCTCGCCTGCCTCTTCCTATTGCTGGGCCTTCTATGGCTACACCGCCAGAGTCTATCACGAGAGGAGCGCGGAAGATTAAGGTGCGGCCTGGCTGAACGAAGTGTAGGGTAGGCGGGAGGCCGAGGGTAGCGCGTTGCAATGCGAGGAGCGAGAGTGTATGTGCGTGCGCATGAAGAGATGTATTAAGAGATGATGTCACTGGTGGTTGTTCAATTTAGAGACACGGACGAATAAATAGACTCACCTTTCTCAACAAGGGTAAGGGCCTTTCCTAGTCTATCCCACTCTCCCTCTCCTTCCTTTTCCCTCCTTTCTACATTTATCAACTCCTTGAGCAATAAGACATACCTTGGGCACCTTTGTACGATGCTCAAAAGCCAATCCGTGAGTTTTAGCTGCCCGCAGCGTGGATCGCGCTCTTGTGTTCGTAGAAATATGGCAAATGGCGCGGGTGGACGGGAAAGGAAGGATATAGAACTTGGGAATGCGGTTATAAATGGGGTGTAAAGAGAGAGATAAGGAAAATGCGAGAGAAGGAGTGCTGAAAGGGGTGGTGGGTTGGGATTTGGGACATCAAGGTGAGACAGAGAGGGATGGAGCAGGGCAGTCAGGGCACTGAAAAATGCATGATGAAAGTTCCAAATGTCAATAAAATTTGAGAAAATGGTAGTCAATTCCGTGCGCGTAAGGAGCGGGCGAGAACTGTCGAGCGACGCTATGATCGGCGTCAAGAAGTGCTGCACAGGAAATCAGTTTATCTCATTCAAATCAAGGGCCATCAACACTCACATCATGCACGAGATCCAGTCCCTGCACATAACTTCTTTCTGTATCCCAAAACTCTCTTATTACCTTTGTTCGTTTTGCCTCTCGTGCTATATCTTCTGGTGCAGGTGTCCTGGATTGTTTGCGCTTCAGTGAACGACGTTTAGGGCGCCTGACGACTGGCTCCTCTGGCAGAGAATCGAATGATGCAAAACTGGCGACAGATTGACGGTGTTGGGCAGATAAGAGGCTCGAGCTCGGTACACTTGGTAGTGAGATCCGTCGGAATGGAAGGTGAGTAATTGGGGCAGCTGGAAGATTAGTACTAGAGTCAGTGCTTGGAAACAAAACTCTTGGTGTCATGGCCGTCGCATTGGAGAAGGAGCTGTGAGCCTGTGACCCAGGCTGGAATAGACTGCGACACACACGCCTTGGGGCAACAACCGCGCCCGTCCGTCCGCTATGAAATCACTGAAAGCTAAACTTGGTTTGTTCCCGCGGCTTCAGATATTTACTAGAATTAATCGCAATGTCCCCATTGTGACAGATACGAGAAGCAAATGCTTTCGAATATGGCACAGCGAGATTATGTAACGCTCGTCAAAAGCCGTCGACGATACGTCGACGATGGCAACCAAATATTAGCTTTATCATTCTCTCTAGTTACTCATTTAGTTTCTTTCTCCTTTAGTCCCTGACTTTCTTACCCTTCAGTATATAAGCCATCGCGTATCTACTTGTAGGGTAGTTGATTTTCACCCCCCCTTGAATAACACTTAGTTAGGACAGTTACCCTGTTCGAACCTTAAGACGATTCAAACCTATCGACTCTCTAGTGTGAACGTTTCATAAACGCCACATATTTTTAACTGCCTTCAAATCTAAAATCTATTCCTACTATAGTCGTTGTCTAAGAGGCCTGATCAACCTCCAAACTTCGACTCTTGTTAAAACACCAAATCTATCCCTACCCGAACGATATCGTCAAGAAAAGAAAAAGAAAAAATGCCTACTAGTGCACTAGAAATTGCCTCCCCACGTTCCACAAGGAACCTGAGCATTGATGACCGCGCCCACGAGCAAGACGGCGCGAAGTCTCGAAACAGTAGCCCTGTTTCTGGAGACGAAGGGAATGGCGGCCCAATGGCTAAACCTCCCTCCAAGTTCGGTCCTCGCGACCTGAACGAGGTGGACCTAGAGTCCACCCAGGCGAAGCGTGCTGTGAGCAGCCCCGCCCAGAGCAGAGCCCCATCATCAAACGACGCAGGTGCCGCTACAACCCATATCGCTCGAGGCGATGAGGACCCATTTGCACCAGTCATCGAAATACCTACTGGCGGTCCCATAATAGGTTGACTACGTACCTTTACATCGCCTGATAGTAATAACATACCACGCCTGCAAGCAGTCTTTGATTGGTCAGAGGTGACCGATGACGAGGAACTAGGGGACGTACCTGAATTCCCGGTACTAAGACCTAGCACAACTACCAGCGAGAGTAAGCCTGAAATTAATGAGGATCACTCCGAGAAAAACAAAGAAAACGACCTACATAAGCTCAGCACACTAACTAGTCACCTTCGTGACTGGACAGAATTCGATGAGGACGTTGCGGAGCTCAATCGTCCCGGATCAAACGAGTCGGACGAGTCACTTCGTCGACTGTGGGATGATGACAACAGGGCAGGATCCATCAGGATCCAAAACTTCGCCCTAAAAGGTTTTCGAAAAGCTGCAAAACAAGATTATGCGGAAAAGTGTGAGGAAGTCAGCGACTTGCTAGACCGAGTCAAGGAACTTGAAAGACTAGTAATCGAGGCACAGACCAGGGAGGAAATGGCGCAGCAACTGATCCGGGAGGCACAACGTGTACCTAACCCTGGCCCACCCCCAAGAGAGCACACTCCTTGTTACAAGTCCCCCAGCACAAAACACTGCAGAAGTGAATGAGGGACGACGCGCGACGGTGATAGACAGTGACCCACCAAGCATAAGGGAGCCTGTTAGTGACAAACCCGTCAAAGATAACACCAGATTCTGGAGGGCATCATCACTCCTCCCCGATAAAAGTTCGGTCAAACGAGCCATAGTTGGAGGCAATCCAAGCGACCCCGACTCTTCTGAACCCTCGCCAGAATCAGGATCTGATGATGAGCGTTCGTCTACCGAATCCTCTGGTGAGGACACAAGACGCACCAGCAGGGACAAGAAGAAATTGATGTCATCTTCTCTCAATAAGCACACGCGCAAAGACAAAAGGAAATTGAGGACAGCACCTGCATTTATTACCAGAACCGTGTCTGAGGAAGACGCCTCGGATGAGTCCGACTCGAAACTACTGCACTTGGAGCCAGAGTCCGACCATAGTAGCGACTCGGACAATACCAAACGACTAAAGAGAACAGCCCGGCGCAAGCATAGATCCCATATGAACCTTCTGAAATATCAGCAAGGTTTCTTAAAGCACGAACCACCTTTTACTTACAATGGGGAAGCCAATGCGTCCACTTTTAAGAAGTGGGTCCGCGAAGTACGAGACTGGCGGGACCGGGCCAGGCTATCAACCAAGCAAACAATCAGTATGGTCGGAAAGTACTTGGGAGGCAACGCCTATTGATTCTATGAGTGTGATGTCCTAGATCTTAAAAAGAAATACACACTTACCGATTTCTTCGAGCAATTATTTGATTATTCCTTCCCAACGGACTTCAGAATGATGCAGCGTCAACGATTCCTCGAGTGTCGCCAGGAGGGAAAACAGAGTGTGCAAGACTACATCCATCGCCTCCGAAACATAGCCGATACGACGGGCGACGTGGACGAGAGGGAACTTGTTCGACAGTTCTGGATGAACTGTAAACCATATATCAAAGCTTCGTTAGTAGATAAAGGATACGACCCAAACACCGTCAGTATGGACACGATTGAGAGAAAGGCTCTCCGCACCGAGAGAGCGTTCCTAGAAAACGCCAAAGATCCTAGCGTACTTTTAGCATTGACACCGACCCTAGCTGCCGGCCTTGCAGCCCAAGGTGCTCACAGCACCAGGCAGGACCAACATCATAGAAGGCGTGATAGGAGGCACCGAACCCACTCACTCTCTGCCAACGCTGTAAACCAATCCCAGCCCAGAGGCCATCATAGAGATAGGCGCCCTGGACCAGAGAGACGGTCTCGCGAGCCCCACAGAGGTCCTCAGACTGGCAAAAGCGCTGATACTATATGCAAACTCAGAGACTTGAATCAGTGTTTCGAGTGCGAACAAACAGGCCACTTAGCTAAAGATTGTCCCAAGAGACATCGTCTGCCTCCTCACAACTCACCCAGGGTCGGCACCCTCAGGTCCAACGCTGTTGGAATCACCTCCGCAGACATCCGATCGGCCGCTATCAACGAGGGTAACGCGCAAGGACTGTATGGATTTGCCATAGACATACCTAAGTCTGCAAACTCGTTAGCTGAGCCTGGAATCAGTGAACATCTGCTGGTCGTGCACCGAGCAATAACCACTCTAAAATTGGCAGTACCATTCCCCACTGACGAACTCTCTGACCCGCTGTACGACCCGTTTGGACCGGATCGCTTCTGCCTCACCAACTGGGGTGGCCCTGACACGTACTTATTGTCAGATAAACATAACTATGATGAGTATATCGTCTATTACTCACAACTGAGAGATCCCGGCTTCGACATCATTTCGTGGCTGACTGAGATGAAGCTACATAACTATCAGTACCTCGTGAGAACGAAGACATCTTTCAAACCCACCTGGTTCGGCCAGACAGCTCCTGCACCCGAAACACCCGCGAACGACAACGAAGATGATGATGAGTCCTCCTGGGCCACTACTGACTGCGAAAGCAGCGATGATGAGGAGGACAACTTCCCTGGACTGCTTAGTTGCGAGTCCAGTGAGGAGGACGAACCTGACGTTGGAGGTGAGCTCTTCTGTGGGATGACCTCTCGTACGAAAGCTGACTTACCAGATCTGCAATCCCTCCAGCGCCAATCAGCGCGTCCAAAGAACTCCACTAGGATCCTTCCTAGATCGTTAGTCATAGTCGTACTATTGAACGGAAAACCCTGTCGCGCACTGCTGGACTCCGGGTCTCTAACGGACTTCGTGTCAAGTACTGTAGTTGATCAACTTAAATTGAAATATGACTTACTTGATAAGCCCATTCCCCTGCAACTCGCTGTGTCCGGATCCAGGAGTTCCATGAAGGCTACTACCCGTGTTGAGTTAACATATCAAGACATTAAGGGTCCACGTACCTTCGACATCACTAACCTCGAGTCTTACGACGTCATCCTCGGGATGCCGTTTCTATTCCAGCATCAAGTGTTGCTGGGATTCAATCCCCCGGAGATTAAGATCCGTAGCCTTGAGCCGTTACCGATCCGCGGCTCGCAGACCCAGGTCCTCGAGCTAAAGGGGATGAGCCTGTCCTCAGATCAGATTGAGTCCTACATGAAAGAACTTCATGAGTACGCCAAAGACATTTGTAAGGAGGCAATTGAGACGCCATTACCTCCGCTGCGCGCGATAAACCACGTTATACCCCTCATCAACGAAGACCAAGTCTATTCTTGGCGTCAGTCTAAGTGCCCAGAGGCCTTGCGGCCGCTCTGGAGGGCCAAACGAGACAACTACATCAGAACGGGCAGGTGGGAGTTCTTTAGCGGTACTAACGCTGTACCTATGATCATGATGAAGAAGACTTCCAAGGACGATGAACTCCGTTTACGTACCGTTCTCGACACTAGACAACGCAACACGAACACGCGGAAACTCGCATCACCACTCCCGGACATAGATACCATATTGCGCAATGTCGCGTCACATCCCTATCGTTCCCTTCTTGATGGTAAGGACGCGTACGAGCAGATCCGTATCGTACCCTCCGACGTGCATAAGTCCTTATTTGCGACACCTGACGGGACAATGATCAGTCATGTCATGCAAATAGGAGATTGCAACGCGGGTGCCACTTACCAATCGCTAATGAACCATATCTTCGGTCCCCACCTAGGAATATTCATGGACGTCTATTTAGACAACATAGTAATATATTCGGACTCACCTGAGGACCATGTCCGGCACGTTAAGACGGTTATTGACACCCTACGCTCAAACCACTTCTTCCTGAGTGAACATAAGCTTCAATTCTTTAAGACCGAACTTACGATACTTGGCCACGTCATAGATGACGGGGGAATCCGTCTTGACCCTCACAAAGTCGACAAAATCCTCCATTGGAAGACCCCCACGTCCAAGGAACTGCTCATGCAGTTCATTG